TTTACTAGAAGAACCCTAAACATAGACTACATCCGAGTCTAGGGTTATAAGGTTCATTCCTATATAGAAAGAGAATTAATTTTACAATCCTTTAGAAGAGATAAGCTTATAGACAAAGCAAGAGTTAGTGCATTCCTAGGATATGTTATAGACACTAGCAAGCAATTCCTTATCTAGGCACCTAATAGAAAGGATGTAATTAAGACTAGCAACATTAAGTTCTTTAAGTAAGAGAAGCTTACGCTAGAAGAGCTTAATTTTAAGAGCTAGCATTCTCCTAGCATAGTAGTAGAGAGAAATCCTCGTAGTAGACCTAGGATTAAGAGAGAAGTTCTACTAGAGCAAACTATAGCATAAGGGAATCCAAAATTAGTGGGAGTTAACTAAACCCTATAATAAGATATAGATATAAGACAAGATAATCCTACCTAGAAACCATTATTAGTAGGAGCAGATAAATAGCTTGCATCTAATAGAACTATAAGGAGTTCTACCTAGAAGGAAGCTATAATAGAAGAGCCTACTAAAGTTCCTATTGTAATAACCCCTATTATAACAACCCCTATTATAATAACCCCTATTACAACAACACTAGTTATAAGAACTAAGGATACATCTAGTCCCCTAGAAGCTGTACTAGTAGAGAAGCTAGAAGTTAATGTAGTCATCACTAAACTACCTAGTTTTAATAGGAGTTAGTACAAGTACATTACTAATCCCTATATTAATGAATAAGTTTAAAATAGGAAAAGGTCTAGAGAAGAAAGTAATATAGACTACTTAGAAGATGAACAAATAGCAAAGCACTATAAGGCCTTATTCTCCCTTCTAGCCTTAATAGTAATAGATAAGGATATGTTATAGGACGAAGACTATTAGTTAATAACTAACTATCTCCTACAACAGTTCTAAGAATCCTATTTACTATAAGAGGATAAAGAGGTAGCATTTATTACATAGGGAAGAATGAACATCCCTATTCCCCTTACTTATCTTAAAGCAATTATAGACAAGATATAGGGAGAAGGCTAGAGAGAAGCAATTTAAAACGAACTAAATGCACTTACTATAAATAGCACTTTTAAGATTACTACTCTACCTATAGGTTATAACATTGTTTCTAGCAAATAGGTCTTTATAACAAAGTTTAACACTAATGGTTCTCTAGATAAGCTTAAGGCAAGACTTATTGTAAGAGGATTTTCACAGAAATTTAGAGTTAACTATAAGTATACCTTTGCGCCTACTTTAAGATATAACACTCTAAGAATCTTCTTTACAATAGTTGCAATCTAGGATCTTAAATGCCACTCTATTAATATTAACAATGCCTTTACTAAATCATTCTTAAAGGAAGACATCTATATAAAGGCACCTCCTAGAATGACTATACCTACTAGTTAGTGTCTTAAGGTCTGTAGAAGTCTATATAGACTTAAGTAGGCTGCAAGAGACTAGAATAAGAAGTGTACTCTCGAGTTATAAAAGCTAGGCTTTATGCAATTAGATGCTAACCCCTGCCTATTAACATATCCTAACAAGAATCTAATCCTTCTAGTTTATGTTAATGATATCCTTATTACCTTAAAGTCAATTAAGAGTATTAACTAGTTTAAGTCAGAATTTAGAAAAGTCTTTAAGATTAAAGACTTAGGAGAAGTTAAGAAGATCCTAGGAGTACAAGTCACTAGAGACAGAAAGAACAGAATTGTTAAATTAGATTAAGCACACTACATTAGAGAGATTCTCTCTATATATAGTATACAACAAGATAAAACAAGAAAGATAAGCACCCTAATAAATGGATATAACTCTATTAGGCTAGTAGAATAGGCTAATCTAAGAACTGATCAAAAGGGGTATTAGACATTAATTAGGAAGCTTATGTATCTTACTATTTTAACAAGACCTAACATTTCTTTTGCTCTTAGGAGACTAAGCTAGTACCTAGGAGATCCGGCTAAATTCTATATGTCTACTATAAGACATATCCTTAAATATCTAAGATTAACATAAGATTAAGGACTTACATTTAAGGGAATAAACTAGTCTAAACTAATAGGGTACTCTAATTCCGACTTTGCTTCTATAAGATCTAATAGACTATTAATTCTTAGGAATGTGTTTATAGTTGTAGATGGTCCTATTACTTAGATAAGCAAGAAGCAGAAATCTATAGCTACTTCTATAATGGATGCTAAATACATAGCAATGTGTGTAGCAGCAAAGCAGTTATAATGGATTATACTTACTTTAAGAGATATAGGCTCTACCTACCTTATAGGGGAAAGCGCATTCTAGCTAACACTTAAGTAGAAAATGAAGTACATAATTACTTCCCCTATTCTCATTAGAGGAGACAATTAAGCTGCCCTTAGTTTAGTAAGAGATGCACAAATCTCTAATAGGTTAAAATACATTAATGTAGCCTACTATTACTAGAGGGACCTCCTTAAGAAGAACAGGCTTAAGGTTAAGTTTGTAGGAACAAATGACATAATTGCTAATAGCCTTATAAAGCCATTAAATAAGTCTCTATTTAAGAGGTTTGTTAGTTTACTAGGCATGCAGTAATGTGTGTATAGTCCTAAGTGGGAGAGTTAAAAATAGTGCAGTCCTAGTACACTTATAGGAGTTGTAACTCTATTGCAATAAGGTAAGGTTCTATTGTAGATAGGTCTATAATAGACTATAACAAGGAAAGGGATAATAAGGTTAGCTTAGCACCCTAACGCCTTAGCAAAGTAGGATGTCCTAGACAGATTGCGCCTATAGATACTCTTCTTCTCTTTAATTAATTACTACGCCATATACTATTAGTACGCTTTTACTAGAAAAGGTCGCGTCTCCACCTTCGGTTAATTCTATAGGCTCTAGGATTACTTCCCTACGCTAGCTAGAGTATTTTATGCACCCGTTGCACGACTTATTTTAACTTAGACAATAATACCCGCTATAGTTAAAATATGCTACGGCATGTATCCTACCGGCCCTTTATACTGCTATACGTAGGAATACCCCGAAGTTGTCGAATAGAGTAGCTAAGCTAATATGCCTCTTAATCTATACCTTTAATATAGTAAACGAGAGCTCGATAGGGCTAAGATCTAGCGAGTACAGTAGTAAGAACTCGAGCTCGTACCTAGCTATAGTTACTACCTTATAAACCTCTATAGATTAGTAAATAGAGGCATTATCTATAACTAATATTAATCTTAGAGGCACCTACGGTAGTACGTCCTCTACGAGCTATACGTAGAAGATCTCTATGTTAATACCTCCTTAATAGATTAAAGGGTTACTAACGTAGCTATCTATAGTTATTACTAGTAATATTAACTACCTCTCGCTCCTCTTTATCGACTTAAACTTATAGTAAGTAAGGCCCTTTAGACTCTAGCCGTACTTCCTTAAGCTAGTACGCTTATTAGCGCTACTCTCGTCGATAAATATAAGGCGCTATCTACTCTAAAACATGCGCCTACTACGCTAGAGTACCCTTAGCGGTTTACTTCTTTTAAGAGCCTTCTTCTTAGCCTTCTTCCTTAACTACTTCCTCCGCCGTAATAGGTTCTATATAGAGCTTAAGTAGAGCGCTACGTCGAACTTATTAAGAATAAAGTCCTAAACTTTATCGAGGTACGCGGAGGGTCGGCTAGCGAGGTATTAGAGCATAAACTAATTAATTACTAGTTAGTTACGCGCGCGCTTAGTTCCTTACCTTATTACGCTTACCTCCTTAGCCTTATTACTTAGTAACTTTAGATAACCTCGAACGCCGCTAGGGGGTAGATATAGCTCGCTATACTTATTTAGCGCCTTTAAGAGTCTATATACCGTCGTACGACTAAGTTAGAGCGTCCTAATAATGCTATTAGCACTCTAGCTAGTAGCATGGAGCGTAAGAAGCTAATTTTAAACAAATTCGGGCAATAGAGCAGGCATAGTTTCTCATAGATTACAATTTACTATGGTACCGTCACTAAATAGACAAATTTAGAGGAATTAACCGTGCTTCGCGACCCCGTAACGCTTAGTCCCAATGATTTCTAAAAGGACAGTAACTATATGCAGTAGCCTGGCGCCATCGCAATCTTCCAAGTTATCTAAAGTAGTTACATGGATGATGCATACAATATGCCATGTTGAAAAGGAAAAGTACTAGTGATGCGTTTCTGGTCGCTCGAGACAATGAAGTGGTCGACCAAGTCACCAATTCTTGTGTGCAAGCACGAGTCTTAATAACGTCTTCGCATCCGAAAGCCTTACTAAGGTCAGTGGCTCTGGCCTTACCTTGCCTTACGGTTATCTTAATGGCCCTAAGTTGGATTGCCAATCTAGGACACGAGATGACGCTGATGCACAAAGATGATGTTGCCACCATTAAGTATGTGTTGGCGCTTGCAAACACCCAAGTATCGTGGTCTGCGTCGGGACGAGAGCTAAGAAACCGGGGTAGACGATTACTCCCTGGCATCGTACCACGTTGCCGATATAGCTCTCGGAATGGTCGCTAGGCTAAATTCGAACCCTCAATAGAAAAAGATTTATGTTCCGGTTTTAGGGGTGATTGAGGATTTAAAAGCTCGTCGTTGGCAAATCTGCATGATAGGGAGCACACTGCTCACTATCATGCATGGCCGAAAGTCGTAGCAAGCGCTCCGCTCGCGTGTTTCACGCGTCCATGATGTAATCCTTCCTCCTTCACAACACTTTCTTCATTCATTCATTCATTCATTCATTCATTAAATACCTCACTCGGATTCGATATTGCGACGTCTGTTATCACACGTCGTCTTCTGACAACAAACTGCAGACACTGACTTTAATAGCGACCCAAATATTGCAATTGACGAGCTTAAGCCCTCAACGCGAATGCGAGACATGTCCGACAATACGCGTGAAATTCAGTGCCGGTTTCGGTAATGATACGATGAATGAGGACTTCTTGATTATATTTTTCCAACTGGCACACTCAGACCCGACCCGATCATCCTCGTCTACACCGGCAAAAGCACCTTGACACCCATGTATTCGCGCTGCTGCATCAATTTTCCTTCCATCAAGACCTGGTCCGCACCAATTCTGTTACGCTGATCATCGGTGGGATCAGTCGCCTCTGCAATCTGGATCTCTCGCCACTGTTGGTTGGTTGGAATCTGGACGTTGTCAGTAATCTCATAGGCAACCCGCCAGACGATGTCACTCACTGGGAAGCCAAGATCCATTACTCGTTTGAACTTTCTGTAAACACCTTGATCTTCAACGCAGCCCTCTCTTTGGATCAGCGGCGACTCAATAGCGGGAGTCATTCTCAGATGGCCAACGCTTGACTGGAATTGAACGAAGGACAAGCGCTCTTCTTGAAGCTGATCGGCGGGAGGAGAGAACACGCGATGTCTGGTTGCTTTGAAATGTCCACCGGACACAATCTCAAGAGTCTCGCCGATGTTGATGACAAGTGCACCTGGACGGTAAGGAGCGTAGTGCCACTGATCATCCTTGCCCCAAATTTGGAGACAAGAAATGGGTACCGAGAAGAGTAGGGTAGTCAGACCGAAGTCAGTGTGACCGTGCATTCTGATGTTCTTGGACTTCTCGAGTATTTTCTCATTGACTGGTCTGAACAAAGCATGGCGAAGTATCCCTCGCCTGATGGGGAGCCGTGTGACTGGACGTTGTTCCAAAGCCAATCGTCTGGCAGCTCGAGAACACGAGAGAAGAGTGTGAGCAGGCGCCGATTGACGGATTTGGTTAAGTACTGTGATTCTGTCAGGATGGACCTTTGTCATGAATGCTCAAAGCGTACCTCAGAGAAAGCCCTGATCTCGTCCATGAAAGGAAGAACGCATGCAGGCAAAAGATCATCATTCTCCCACTGTTCCTTGTACCAGTTGAACTGGTTGATCCCGTCCTTTTGTTGACGATGTCTCTTGAAGCCGTACTCGTGTTTCCAACCAGCCCATCTTCCAGTAGACGGATGGAAAAGAAGTCGCTCTTTGTCTTCCTCAGAGATGTTGTTGAAGAGGTAGTGTGCAATGGAGAATTGACGGTGGAGTTGCTCGAGACTGATTCCATAGTTCTCCAGGAACAAGAATCCGTCCTCTCTGATCGCTCTCTTTACATCGGAGACCAATTCTTGTTGTGCTTTCTCGTCGCCGTCGAGCTTGGACAGGTCGATGGTCTCCAGCTCGGCGAAGTTGTGCTTCTCCTTGGTTGCCGGAGGAGGGATCCTGCACAGAGGTCAGCTCTGATGATATCGTGAATCTTGTAAAGTGCTCACCATTGAGGAACGGATGGCTTGTCAGCCATAGATGGGGAAGGAGGATTGAAAGGCGCGGTCTTGGCCATGTTGAAGATGCTGAACGATTGTGAAGCCGATGTGTTCTGCCATCATCAATGGGTACCAGCGAAATCACCTTTATAATACATCTTGCAACGTGCTGACTTTGGTATACCTACCGTATCGCTATCAGATCTTCGTACTCCTCCGGTGGTTCACGAACGCATGGCATGTGGGGGAGGAGCCCTGGGCTGCTTCGGGCTCCCTTCTCAATCGATTACCCCATACACCGGAGAGGTTTCGCCTATCAGCGGGGCGGGAGGAGCTCCTCCCACATGCACCTGCGACACAAACTCGGAGGAGCATACTTGTCATTGATAGCCCATCACACCTCTTGTGAGTAATGAATTGTATGAATTACCCCGATGGAGGGGTGGTTTAATATATAGCACCGTCTTGTGAGTATAGGATAATCAACCATTCCTCAATTCCACTCCGTCAAATCTATCCTTCCAAAGAACATCCTTCTTTCCACATCATACATCATGTCTCGAGAACTCATCTCTTCCGCTGAATTCCCTCCTAAGCCTCACAACTGTAAGTCCTTCAACTGACAAAAAAAAGTACGTTGGTTAACATGCCTAGGCCCTGCCGTCAAAGTACCAGGTCTGGTCTTCGTCGCCGGCCAAACATCCGCAGATCCCGATATCAAAAAAGCCACCCGCACCGTCTTGGAGAACCTAAAGAAAGTCCTCGAGTTGGCTGGAAGTAGTATGGAGCAGGTTGTCAAGTACAATGGTGAGTGCAACTTGTTCTTTTGTAAGAGATGGAAAGGGAAATGCTGACAAGTTACAACAGTTTATCTCGCAGACATGAAGGATTTCGCCGCGATGAATGAGGTGTATATTGATTTCTTGCCTCCTAACCCGCCTTCGAGGACTTGTATTGCTGCTGCGGCACTGCCGGGTGCGGGCACGATTGTGGAGATTGAATGTATTGCTCAAGCCTAAGATATGGGAAACAAAAATAGAATATAGTTATACTTAGTTCTGGCTACTGTATGGTCTCATGTGTCTTCTGCAATCTGTGTGTATATTCTTCTGTCCTGAGATGTTAATCGCGCATCTACAATCTATTCAAAATGTTCGGTCTCGCGATTGCATAGTGTCATCTGCATCACATGGTATAGTCGACTTCTTTCGGAAAGGCGTAAACCAAGTTGGAACTACCTGAGGCAAAAACATATCTGGTGTGCAAGTCAAACAGCACAAGACAGCCCAAGATACAATCTCAAGCCGATGGCTGGAAGAGATGGGGCTAAATCGTCATCTTCAAAACATGATCTACGAAGTGTCAGAGATGACTTGTTGACGATGTACGCAACATCGCAATTTTCCAGTATCCAGAACTTGTACTCCTCAACTGTACTCAAGCATCCGTACCTCACAACGCAACACTAAATTTTGGAAGGACTTCGTAACTTTTTGAACATCTGGAACGTTTCATACAGCTTTTTATCTATTGTCCCTTGACACATGCGATCTGAGCAGTGTACCAGTTGCTGATTGCCTTGGTATCACCAGTGATAGCGACAGAATCAAACTGCTTCGCAGCCTCAACGGCCAGAGGACCATCGTTGACCAATCTTCCGACCCATTTTCCGTTCTTCCTGGCAGCAGCAACAATCTTCTGGATGGCGTCAACGAACTCTGGCTCGTCGCCTCTAGCAGGGGTATAGCCAAGCACTGATTGCGCAAGATCGTTGGGCCCAATAAACAGATAGTCTAGACCATGTCAGCTCAAGGAATTCATCACAGCGGCCAAGATGCCACTTACCAACACCAGGAACAGCGGCAATCTCATCAACATTGGCCACGCCCTCCTTTGTCTCGATTTGTACGATTGTCAGAAGAGTCTCGTTGGCGGTCTTCATGTACTCGGGTGTCGTCAAGCCGTGGCCGATAGCAGGGAAAGCTGATCCTTGTCCGCGAAGTCCGAGAGGAGGAAACTTCGAATAGCGTACAACGCTCTCTGCGTCGGTGGCTGTGTTCACCATAGGCACCATGAGGCCACTGCACTGTGTCAGCCGTAGTACGGAGTAGTGAAAACGCGATGGCCTTACTGAGCACCAGTGTCCAACGCCCGCTTGAGGATGTCTGGTGAGAAGCCACGAACGCGGATGCTCGGAGAGACGCCCATTGATGAAATGGCGGCTACAGAGTTGTGCATAGAGTCGTCGCCAATATGTCCGTGTTCACAATCGACAATAACACCCTGTTAACGTCAGACTACATTGTTCAAGCAAAGTTATTGTACATTACTTACGTCCAAGCCGGTCATGGCGACGATTTGAGCATGTCGTACTGATGGAATAGCGATAAAGGTCATCAATGCCAATTCATGTTTGCGGAGGGCGTTCAAGAGTCGGAGACGAGGATTCTGCACGGGAGTTGTGTGGGCAGTGTAGTTTTGAGTTTGGATCGCCATTGTGGATGTTTGATAATGTTGCGGTTACTGTGTGAAGAAAGCGAAGTTGTAGCCAAGTCAAGTGCGTTGAGGATGAATGTTCAATCCTCCCAGGAGATGCCATCGTTCTATATTCTTTCGAAATTCCTGTTGAACTGCCTGCTATGATAGACGGTCGTCCTTCTTGTTGGCAGACAGGAGGAGGTTTGGGAGGACAAGGAAGGGGAGAAGCTGGAGAGGAGCTCCTCCTTTCGGCGGCCCCGTTTTTGGCTTCGCCGGCGTCGCAGCCCTTGGCCGCCCGAGGGCACCCGAGACCGTGCCACTCCTCAGGAACAGCCCTGCTCCTCCGTCCTCCTCAACCTTCCCAGTATCCGTCAAAAGCCGTTTCTTATCGCTGAATAGTCTCACAAAGTATACGCGTTATGACTTTGAATTTACCAGATACCGATCTTGGCCTGTCGTGGATGCCCCTGAGAGGAGCTGACCTAACCGAAGAGACTCAGAGGACAGAACACCCTGTACCGCATTTCAATCACTGTACTGCTATCCAGTATGCCTGAACAACCACACTCTTATCGCATCCCTCGTTGTCACAAGCCACAAGTTGTTGTATATAAAGTTCAACTTGATCTTCACTCCTTTTTCTAGTTTGACTTCGATACCATACAGTGAACAAAATGTCGAACACTTACCCAGACAAATTCGACTCGGCCAGTAACAAGAATGTCGTACCAGATGAAGCCATTGGAATCGTTGAGGACTTCCCTCCAGTACCAATGCCCGACAGTCTACAGCACTACACAGAAGCGGAACTCAAAGAGATTGAGAAGAGACTGGAACGAAAGGCCGATTTCACCATCATGCCAATCGTCGGCATCCTCTATATCCTCAACTGTTTGTCTCCACCCCTATATCGAAGCCGGTGCATGCTAATGTAAACCAGATATCGATCGTCAAAATCTGGCCGCCGCTAAGTTGCAAGGCATCATGGAAGATCTCAACATGAGCACAACCGAGTTTGCTACAGCAGTTTCGATCCTGTTTGTAGGATATCTGCCATTCCAGATTCCTTCGAACTTGATCCTTTCCAGCATTACACCACCTACGAATCTCTTCTCGCTGTCCGAGTCATCCTTGGAGCAGTCGAAGCTGTCTTTTTCCCTGGTGTAATCTACCTGCTTTCCAGTTGGTACACAAAGCGAGAACTCGGAAAGAGATTTGCTGGTCTGTACATCGCTCAGCAAGTCGGGTAAGTGAGGTCTTGAACGTCGTTTGGTAACAGCTCTGACTCTATGCAGAAATGCCTTCGGTGGCCTGATCGCTGCTGGTATTTTGAAGCTAGACGGTGTTCATGGCATCCGTGGATGGCGCTGGCTTTTCATCATGTAAGTTTGCCCCATCTCTTGCATGTTTTTCATCTTCTGACTTGATCAGTGAGGGCGCTGCCACCGTTGGTGTGGGCCTCTTCTGCGTCTTCTTCCTGCCTGAATATCCCTACAACGCACGCATGCTCAAGCCAGTAGAAAGAGACTTGGCTGTTTGGAGACTCGAGCGAGAAGCGGGTGCCAGTGAGGCTAACGAAGACATCGGCACTCTGAAAGGCTTCCTTCTCGGTCTCCAGGACCCAAAGCTTTACGTGATCATCTTTATGAACATGATGTCTCAGGTCCAAGGCTCGATTGCGAACTTCTTCCCTTCGATTGTCAACACTCTCGGCTACGGTCACTACGAGACTCTCCTGCTCACCGCACCTCCTTATGGTAAGTTCATACATCCAGAAGCAAGCAACGATCAAAGCTAATCCCTCCCAGTCCTCGCCGGCATCGTCTACTTCATCATAACCTGGTACTCCGACCGCACAAACAACATGTACCGTGTCATCCTCACCTGCATCTGCATCGCCTGCGCCACCTACATAATCGCCATCAGCACTTTAAACACCGCCGCCCGCTACACAGCAATGATGCTCATGCCCTTTTCCTCCGTCGGACCCCAACTCATGCTCTACAAGATCATAAACCAACATTTGCCCCGTCCCATCGCCAAAAGAGCTGGCGCTGTCGCTATGACGAATGCCATCGGTGGTATCTCCAATATTTGGATGAGTTATTTGTTTATCGGGGCGCCGCACTATTATCCGGCGTTTAGGGCGCTCTTTGCCGCCGCGATGGTGTTTTTAGTGACGATTACTAGGTATAGGTTTTATGTATTAAGGGAAAATAAGAAGTTAGATAAGGGTGGGGAGGTAGCGCAAAGGGCTATAAGGCATGGTATTACGCAGCAGCAACTCCAGATAGGATAGCGCTATAAGGGTCTTTAAGGTGTTAATGAGAACAAGATTAGAACAGTGTAATAGATATGTACACGATAGCGAATGTAACTACAGCGTTAAGTGTTTCTAAGATGATGGAAGTCTACACATACACGGAGTGATTCGTATCGATTGCGAGATATTGTTTTCAGTTATTAGAAGCTTAAGTAGCATCATCTAGCTCTTTTAAACTATTCGTAACAAGCCGACTAATGCACTAATTCTTCCTCCGCTTAAACACCACGTTCATCCATTAATACATGTCCTATTTGTTACTAGTACCGATGATCTCCGCGGGCTTCTAGCACTCTACTAATACTAGCTACTAACCTATTAAAGCTACTTTAAACGTAAAGACGGTTACCTACGGTGCTTTATCGTAAACAGCATGTTCTTAACTAAGAAGTCGTAGGAAGTAATTAATGTACGATTCTAATGAAGCGATAGCTTGTACGGAAGGCGAGATCTCCTAAGACATGCTAAGGTAGGTACTACGAGGTGTTAGCCGTAATGAATAGTAGCTACATATAGTTAAGAACTTACGCTGCTGCAAACGCTGCATTAAGACTAGCCTCTATAACTCCATTAGTATAAGTATGGGACTAATGTAGAAGCTTAATCATTACTATATGCCATGTTAACTTTATAAGAACGGCCATTAGATCTTTATCTAAGAACTTCTCTACTAGAGGCTTAAAAGCTAATAGACTTACATTTAAAGCGTTAAAACGTTTAAAGCAGAGCCGACCTGTTATTATTGTCTAGCTAGAAAGTTCTCGAGCGCTGCTTAGCAAGAAGAGAATAATGATTAAGGCACTATAAGGCTCTAGAGTAGAGACATCGAAGGATGTGTTAGACGACAGACAATCCTATATAGTTATAACATATTTGGTCGGCGATCTCGAGTTTTGTCGAGTTAATGCTTAGTAAGCCTACTAGGTTAAGGATGTACATTTCTAGATCTGCTCGGAACATAGAAGGTCGTATTTAATCTTAAGGTAAGAAAGAAGTCGTAGTTGTAAGAGTGTATTATACCAATATACGTCTAACTAGTTAATAGCGTACAAAGTCCTACATAACCTTGTTAGTCTTAATTCGTTTATTAGGCCATCGAATGCAACTACCTCTTATGGCTTTCGTAGCGAATGAATTGTTTCTAGAGAGCGTCTAGGTCCTCTATCGCACTTAAATGGACGGTAAGAGGCTCCGTTAGACCGTAACGTCTTACGAGCTAGACGACCGTTAGACTTAAAGAAGCTAGAGCTATTATTTTAGCTTACCTTAACCGATTTGTAGTGCATCTGCAGTCTAATAGTAGTATCCTAACCTACAGAATACATTGCAGCATACAACTCTAATAGCAAATAAGCTTATATAGTGTAAATGTTCCTTACAAAGAGGGGTCCTTCTAATGTCTCTAATTAGCTTAGGAGCTCTATGCCGCGCTTAAAGGCCTACGCAGCAATACTATAGTACATCTCGTCCTCCGTGTCGAACTGTAAGCCTACGCTAAGCATGCCCATAAGCAATGCTTCCGGCAAGTGTGTAAAGTCGAATGTAGGATAGTAAATAAACGGTAGGGAGGGTAAAACATGTCGAAAGTAGAGATCGCACCCTTTCTATATCAATTCCCTAGGAAAAAGTACATGTGTGCGCATAGCTTCTGTAGGCTTATGTTGCATTTGACGTCGTGCTTCATCCGCTGGCGACAAGTAGACATTGTTTGACTGAAGCATATTAGGCACAGGCCTAGAGTCAGATCGGATCTCTAGGTTAGCTAGATCATCGCCTAATAGAGATGGTGTTCGAGGATACGGCTAGGCAACACCGGTTAACCCGTTCTCCATGCCATCTGGGCTTATCCCAGGATGGTCGAAAGTTCCCGCAACCTTATGTCTCTCTATCAATACATGACTGCCCGATGCTTCGGTCGAGATTTCGGTGATGCCCAAGCTGTCGTCTGCTTCGACGTTGCACTCCGGGTCAACTTCGCATTGCGGATGCTGTTTCTTGATGTGCCGCTTCCTCAGATCCCTCCTCGAAAAGAGTCTGTCGCAGTAGAAGCACGGATGCTTTGTGTTGCCGGCGGATGTACGATGTAACAGCAGATGCCGTTTGAGGTTTTCCTTACTTCGGTGAGCAGAGGTTCAGACCTTGGAAACGGTCTTCAACGAACATGACGAGTAAATCTGGACTTGCATGTCACGCATTGGAATGGCTGCAATGCTCGTTTATCCATGACCGACTTGGCGATGGAGCTATGACCCTGATTCTTCGATTGAGCACGTCCTGGACTCCTGCGGAGTTGGAGTATGGGGCTGCACGGTCCTGGGATGTGAGATGTTGCGTGATGTGATCAAGGGCCGGTGGGAGTGCATCTATTAATGAGAGAGGAGCTCCTCCCAGGTCTTATCGTGTTCCCCGCATGAGATGAACGAAGCCCTATCTCTCGGCAGATAGGCATTTGATGGAACCTCGTGGCGGGGAACAGTCTGTGTTCGACTCATCCTTTTGTTCTCGCCGATTGTTACTGTCAGGCAAATGTCTTTGGAACTAGGAAATGTAAGGTCTGATGGCTTGAAGTAGGTTTTGGGTTACGATGGATCAAGAAGAAGTTCGCCTTGTCGCGGCAACGGGAGGACTGCAAATACCATGACAATTAGTATTGTAGAGTCCAGGTAGTCACACCGTAAAACCCCTGTGTAGTCGCGTAGAAAGAAGACAAGAAGAGATGGAAGGAGAACCAGCAACGCGGACCTCACGCACGCGTCTTCGATGACGTCGGCGTATATGAAGCCTATTAGAAGCCTTTAGATTATATCTATCATACAAACAATGCTCTATCGATGGTTCTCGATGCTGAACGACCACGTCGAGTCTTTAAATGCTTGTAAAGGGAGGCACCCTGATTGAAGCTCTCCTGGACAAAAGTCGTAGTCAGCGTGTTATCGACGCGTCGGATGATGTCATTCGGACCCAGCTCTCACTCCACAACATTTTTTGACATTTCGATACGTTTTCGCTTTTCTTTGTTTTCAACCTGCTATGGTACAGATGAGTATCAATACATACTACTGACCATGATATGGTGAGATGTCCACGCTGCCGCGGCATACCTCGAGCGAGAGCAAGCTCTTTGCTGTCGGCTTTCACCGCCGGGGTATCAATCACACATTGCTACGAATGCAAGCTGGAACATAGCCTGGGGAAAGCCATGAATTAAGCTATGTGTCCTTGAAGTGCCACTTCAAAGCTGAGCTCTCAAATCCGGAGCAGAAGCTACGTCCACCTCTGCCGGCCATCGACGCTCGACATCACGCTGACAGTCAAACGACATCAACCAACTCCCGACGCCATTTCTTCTCCAAGCTAATGGATCATCACCCTCCTTCATTTCCACCGGTAACTCGACATTCGCAACACCATTGGCCATAACCTCTGCCTCTAGCTTCTCGAACAGGCGAAATCTGTCGTCTCGAGCTTGCTGTTCGGGACCGTCCTCGAAGTGATATAGCTCTTGCTGAAGGTTGCCCCTCTCTACGATACTTTCGGTTCGGAAACGTCTGCAATTTTCGTACACTTCCAAGGCCTTTTTCTTTTCCTGACATGAGCGGCCCTTGATCTTACTCAAGCAGAAACCGAGTGCTGCGCCATCTTCTAGTGACATGCCGGCTCCTGATGCCAGATACGGCAAAGTAGCGTGCACGCAATCTCCGAGGAGGACGAATGTCGCGTCTTCATTAGACCATGATGACTCCAGGCCGGCTCGGAAACATAACTTCCACTTCTGTACGGACTGACACAGCGCAAGCAGCTTCGGTATCCGCGGGTCCCAATCTTTGTACAGCTCGATCATCTCTTCTACGTTGCCGTCCAGAGTTGTGGCGTCGGCTGGCATGTCATCAGGAACGAGTAGCACCATGTTGAAAAGCTCGCCATCCCGAAGAACATAGTTGACCGCATGAGCTTTCGGACCCATCCAGTATCGGACCTTATGCGGCTTTTGGAGAAGTGGTGCCAGCTCCGGATCATCCTTCATGGCTTTGGTGTCGAGAAGAACACGATATGCAAGGTCGCCGGTTGGTGTAGGAGGACTCGACGTGCCGAGCAAGAGCTCACGACACGTGGAGAATATGCCGTCGGCACCAACAACAAGATCAGCAACCATACGCTTACCAGACTTCAACAAGACGGTAGCTGTATCTTTGCCGTCTTCTTCATACTTGATATCAATGACCCTGGCGTTGATGGAAAAGCTAGCTCCAAGTTCTTGGGCTCGGTCCAGTAAAGCTTTGTGCAAGTCGGCGCGGTGGAAGTCCCAGAAGGGGCTACCATACTCTGCGGTAGCGTCCTCAAAGTTCATCGAAGACAGTCTCTCGCCCTTCCAACCCAGCATCATACACTCATCTGGAAAGGTGGCATGGCGAAGAAGTCTCTCCTCCAGACCCCATTGGATAAGTACGCGAGAGCTGTTGGGCAGTACCTGGATGCCTGCACCGACTTCGGCGATTTTTGAGGCACTTTCCAGGACGTGTACATTGTGGCCAGCCAACAAGAGTGAGATGGCTGCACCGAGACCACCTAAACCTGCTCCGACGATGATGATCTACTTATGATTCAGTTATCTGAACTTGCTCCCATCGATATTTCGCACTTACGTTTAGTCGGCTGTCTTCATCTCGCGTTTGCTTTTCTAACACAGGGACTTTGAAAGTGCCGCTTTGAGTCGCCATAGTTCTTGCTTGCTGAATTGTGTAGATTGCACGACAGTGAGATATATATGTTCTGGTATCGCTCTGGCTGCCACAAGTGTTGTCTACTCTCCTGGTATTGTACATCACAACATACAAACTGCACGAATGCACATTTTGAATCAATTGTTTCCTTTATCGCTCATTGACGTAGGGTGGAGTCAACATACTTTCAAGGGTGGGGTTAACAAGGTGCAAACCATCCCCCGCAATGTGAGCCTATCGCCCGAAGCACCCGACTATCGCATTTTCCGCGCCTTCCTTATCAAGACACGCATCACAATACAACCATGGATCTAACTAATCTGCATCATCCTCGCAACAGTATCATTCCACTGCCTCGAGCAAATCTCTCTTCTTCAACATCTCCACGACTTCAGAACTCCACTCCTGGCACCTTCTCAATTTACTCGTCTTGTCGATTCTTTTGAAACCATCAAATTGTTTTTCCGGCGGCGTGATACTTTTGCACAATTCATCCAATTCCTTTGCATTCAGTTTTGTTTTGCCGAGAAGCTGTTTGGAGAGGAAACCAGGTTCTTCTTCTGGTGGTTGGGTTTGAGGTCGTGATTCGTAGATCATGCCATTGGCGATTGTGCCGGTGACGTGGAAGATTGTGCCGCTGGTCGAAGGCGCATCATTGGACGTTGTAGTGGGTGGGGTGGAGGATGGAGAGAGGAGATATAGGGCGTGGTGATCGAGTTTGGGGTTGCCTCCTAACGAAAGGATGAGGTGGAGCTCTGACATTTTGATTGATGTTTGGTTCATGAGAATGTGCTTTTGTTGTCTTGACGATGGAAAGGTGAGATTCATGGTAGAAAATCCTAGTCATATATTGTATTCGAGTGAGCTAAGCGCTAAGTGACACGTCGGTCAGGCGCGTTCGTTTGCTGTCATTGAGCGCTTCATGAGACAGGCGCCTGAATACAGCAAAATGTGAGCGTGATTCTATGGGCAAGCACACAATCTTAACTTCGCACAAACCAAGAATTTGTGATGATTTTCCATGTGCATCGATTGATCTGAAAACCTCGCCATCAATGTTGATCATGTGAAATACCTCCAACTAGGGTCATCTTCTCCATGAACATTGTCACTCGTGTCAACCTGCTGAACGCCGCCTTGTTGCCCCTGTATCTTGTTCCTGCGACTATTCTCTATCTTCATCCATACACCAAGCCAGAGAGTACAGATGATGCATGTGATGTTACAAGCGCTCGTAGTGATTAGCGTCGGTCTATATGCAGGTGCGTACTCTGTCCTGAAAGTTGCGGTACTCAAGATACCTGACAGATTCCCAAGACCGACCAGCAGACCTGTCGTAGCCGCCCGGGAGCTTTCATTGACGTTGTTATTGTTGTGCCATGAGTGTACCAGACACGATGGGATATAGGCACCAGAGCAGAGTAGGAAGCATGCAAAGTATGCTACCGCTTTGTTGTCAACGACATCGATGGCGGCCAGAATGATAAGGCCCGTGAGTGAGATGCAGAGAGCGAGTACAATGTGCAAGCTTCTCTCACGAAAGTAGTCTGATGATTTGGTGACGCACAGCAAGACCACGAAGCCGACACTGTTCGGTGCGACAGTCCACAGATTGGTTTTGACAGCAGAGAAACCAAGACGAGCCACGATTTGCGGCAGAAAAGTAGCGGTAGTGGTGAAAGCCACCGAATATGTGAAGGAGATGATGCACCAAAGAATAAATTTCCAGTTCCGCCAAGTCCGGAAACAGTCTTTGAGACGGAACTTCGTACCAACCTCAGAAGAGCCATCACGGAGCATACGCATTCTAGCCGCAAGCTTCTCCGAGTCGTTGAGGAACCAAGCAGATTCCGGAGTACCTGGAAGCCAGAAGAAGCCGGCGATTGCTACGATGCAGGTTAAGCTTCCTTCAATAATGAACAGAAGTTGCCATCCTTGCACATGGCTGCTGTGGACTTGGAATACGCCATAAGATATCAAGCCGGAAAAGGCTGAGGCGAGCAGAGCAGAGCCGAAGAAAATGGCGATTCGAAAGCCCAGCTCGCCTCTAGCATAGAATAGCGAGAGGTAGAATACGGTACCAGCGAAGAATCCGGCTTCAAAGACTGCCAAAATTAATCGTAGGGCCAGAAGGCCGCCAAAATTCTTCGCAGCACATTGTGTGAGTGCCATCGCGCCCCATCCGAGCATCAAAGTTGGTAACATGACACGTCCAGAGAAGCGCTTCGTGAGCATATTGAGAGGTAGATCGCACAAGCCATTCGGAATGTAGAACAGTAACAGAAGCAATGAATACTGGTTTCCTGTGAAGTGCAGATCAACGTCGATGTGATCAGTTTTGGCGTTTCCCAGATTGCTTCGATCGACCGAGTTGAAAAAGTACATCAAGGAGAGAAAAGGAAGGAGATAGCAGTCCATTTTGCGGACATACGCTCTCTCAGAAGCAGCATCGATGATGTGGATGTCACCAGAAAGGGCTTCATGATCAGCTGGGAAAGCAGTCGAGTTTTGGTCGAGTTCTTTCTCCATGTTGAAGGTCTCGCGCTGTGTTCACTTACATCTTCGACCTTGTTTATTTTATACTGTTGACTGTAGGTTCACCTACCCACTCTTGATATGCATCGCGCAGGACATTGCAACTCCATATCTGAGATGTTTCGCTGTCTCTACCGAATGACATGCAAAGAAGAAAGATGAAGGATGTATCGCACTTATCATGCTATCTTCGCATTCTGGCAAGGAGGACAGAAAGGTTGGACGAAACGCGTTGGGGCTTTCTGACGCAGTGACGCGTCTGGGTTTGCGCTATCGCTCGCCAAGGCGCACTGTTCCGTAGATTTTCCGGCGCTATCAAAAGTGGGGGCGATGCGGGCAAGCTTCCTTCCTTGTGCGATCCTCCTTGCTATGCCACTTCGCCGGCCAAACAGCATGGTACCCCAGCAATGGGGAGCTCAAAGGCCGAGAGCGTCCAGCTTTAGCTCCTTAATTGTACTTCGGTAACCATAGTAGCAGTCCTGATATTTCTGTGAGTTTTTCGTGATTTTTTTACCAGTTTCCGTCGCACATCGTTAGGCACTTCAATCTCTCTGTTCCCACATCATTATGTCACCTGCGCATATCATCGAAGGTCTGGACGTCGATGGGATATCCAGCCAGGATGTTGTCGTTGTTGGAGCAGGACCTGCTGGGTTGATGCTGGCAGCCAACTTGGTTCGCTTTGGCATCAAGACGACAGTCCTCGACGATAGAGCAGATAAGACATCTACAGGACGAGCGGATGGGCTGCAACCAAAGTCGATCGAGACCTTGAAACAAATGCGCCTTGCGGACTCGCTTCTGCAGCGAGGAGTCCGCATCCACGACATCTGCTTCTGGGTGAGTACTGAATGTAATCCTGCAAACTATGCTCACTAATGTTCCGACAGAGTTCTAATAAAGACAAGCACCTTCAAAGGACGGAAAGGACTGAGCACTTCCCACCCATGGTAGATCTTCTGGACCCCTATATTCTTCTGGTACATCAAGGCATGGTCGAAGACGTATTTCTTCAAGACATGCAAACTAGAGGTGTGGAAGTCACTCGAAGCTCCCCATTTGTAAAGTACAGAAACCATGGATCTGGCATTGCTCTAGATGTCTTCAGCCGCTCGAGCATGACTGGAAAGGAAAGGCTGTGGCAGACAAAGTATCTTGTCGGCTGCGACGGCGCCCATTCACAAGTTCGCAAGTCAATTCCCGAGATCAAGGCGGAGGGCTCCTCGTCTGAAGCTATTTGGGGTGTGCTAGATGGTGTCATCGAAACCGACTTTCCCGACCTATGGAGCAAAGTTGTTGTCTACTCAGAAGAGGCTGGCAATGTTCTCTGTATACCTCGAGAGCGAAACATGACCAGACTGTACATCGAGCTGCGTCCCGAGTCTGATGCGCCGATGGACAAAGCAAGAGCAAATCAGGAATTCGTGATGGAAAGAGCCAGACAGATCATGGCGCCCTATAGCCTGTCGTGGAAGAGCGTGGAATGGTTCGGCATCTACCAGATTGGCCAACGGGTGGCAAATCGCTTCACAGACGAGGCTAGACGTGTATTCATTGCAGGAGACGCAAGTCACACTCACTCGCCCAAAGCAGCACAAGGCATGAACACATCTATGCATGATTCGTTCAACCTCGCCTGGAAGCTCAATCTTGCTGTTCGTGGACTCGCTAAGCCATGTCTAATGGAAACGTACGAACATGAACGCCGCAAGATTGCTCAAGATCTGATCAACTTCGATTATGAGCACGCCAATGCGTTCCATGATGGAGACGCAAAGGCTCTGGCACGCAACTTCTTGACCAATGTTCGCTTCATCTCTGGAGTTGGTGCCGAGTACGGCTCGAACGCATTGAATTGGACTTCCGAGCCCTCTAGAGGTGCAAAGCCTGGATGTCTGCTGCCTCCTGCCAGGCTCACTCGTTATCTCGATGCGAACCCCGTAGATGCCCAGCTCGACATTCCCATCCTAGGACAGTTCCGAACTTACTTTATTTGCAAGGATGTCCACCGATCAAAAGGTTTCATGGAGTCTGTTTGCGCGCATCTCTCATCTCAAAGGTCTGTCCTTGGTCGAGCCACGACAGCACTGGAAGCATCTTACAAGGATCAAGCACCGGCAGCAACTGAGTCGGACTCCTATATTCAACCGCAGCGCTATGTTACAGCCAGTCGTGTGTCTACTTTCTGCCTTGTCACTTCTACATCGAAGGCAAATTTCGAGATTGCTGATCTGCCTCCCGTGCTCCAAGCGAGTAAGTGGACCATCTACCTGGACGACGTGCCTTCTCAAGATACTCGCGGTCAGCACTGCATCGACAAGTGGGTTGGACAAGTTGCTGATGACGAAGTCGCTTTGCTGATTGTGCGACCCGATGGCTACGTTGGTGCTGCAAAGTTGTGGTCAAGCAGCGAACAAAGTGCTGCGGCGACCTCAACGTGGTCGGATGATTATTTTGGAAGCTTTCTTATTTGCTAGATAATTTCACCTTGTGTCAATTCGAAAGATTTGCTGATAAACGTTGTCTTAATCCTCCCTCTATCTGTACTGTGACTCTCTGTCACCCGAGGAGTCCGATCGCTCCTTCTCTCAGTAGAAGCAACATTTCCCTCGAATCATTCTGGCAACTGGTCTCGGCCACAAAACAACCTCAGCAGCCTGGAAGGTACTACCGAGCTTACAGATCAATCACGCCACCTCTCTTCTGTAATGCTGGATATGTACCCGATAAGGATGAGGCGGGTGCTGATAAGAAGTGGTCGCTGACTCACTTCCGTTGAACGTGGTGGGGAAATCGACCCCATCTTTGCCCGCGCAAGAACGAAGCTTGCATGAATTCGCCTATCATTTGCCGGGGTCCGGTTTCTATACATACTATCGACCTATAACATGTTTCAAGCAAGAAGGCGTTGGTCAACTCGATTCCATCAACCGACTTTCAATTAATCTACCCGCTATATACAAAATGCCTGCACCGCCTATTCTTGACTTCTCAGGTACGTCCAGCTTCAGTATACTCACGATCAGATGTTGACCGATTCACAGTGTTCTACGGCGACGACGAGGTTGCAAAAGAAAAGTTGGTGGAAGAAGTCAAGAAATGCTGCCTCGACAACGGCTTCTTCCAGATTGTGGGACACAGAGTGCCTGGCGAACTTCAGGACAAAGTCCTGCAATGGGTCAAAGACTTCTTTGCCCAACCACAAGAAGAGAAAGATAGAGTACACAAGGGTTTGTACTGCTTAGACCAGCACAATGAGAGCAAGCTGACACCACCACAGACTTCAATACCTGGAACCGTGGGTATGAACGCATTGGCTCGCAGATTCTAGAGCAAGGAACCAACCCAGATCTCAAGGAAGGGTACTTCATTGGCGAGGAGATCTCCACAGATCATCCGTACTTCATTGGTAAGAAGCTCAACAGTGGACCCAATCTCTGGCCTGAGACCATGCCTGAGGTAGACGACTTTCGTGCTACTTCCATGGAATACTACACACAGATGCATGCGCTGGCGAGAGACGTACTTGCGGTGATCGCTCAGACGCTTGATCTCAAGGACGACTATTTCAAAGAGTTTACAAGCGGCGCAGTGGCAACATTGAGATATCTGCACTATCCACCTCAACCGGCAGACTCGGACGAGAAATTGGCAAGGGGAATTGGAGCTCACACTGACTTCGGCTCCGTCACGTTGCTCATGCAAGGAGATGTAGATGGTCTTCAAGTCTATGATAAAGACACCAATGAGTGGCTTGATGTATGTCCTTCAACAGCGGAAGGTTAATATGACCGGCTAACAATTTGCCAGGTCGTCCCTATCAAAGGGGCTTATGTCGTCAACTTGGGCAACATGTTTATGCGATGGTGAGTGTCAAAAACATACGCTCTGATATCCATCGCTGACATTATCAAAGGGCAAACGACAAATATATCTCGAACTTGCACCGAGTCATCAACAAATCAGGAAAGGAACGCTACTCTGTTCCCTTCTTTTACAGTGGAAATCCCGACTACGTGATTGACTGCCTTCCAAACTGTCGTGGAGAAGGCCAGGCTGCGAAGTATCCACCAATCAGTGTGATGGACTGCGTTGGAGCTAGTTACAAGGCGAGCTATGGTGCTGCAAAAGTGTTCAAGGAGCAGCCAAAGACGAAGATGGAGTGTGTCGGTGGTGCTCAGCCCATTCTTGCTTCGTAAATACTCTAGGAGAAATCGCAATTGCAATTGTGTATCATTACTCGTGGCGTAAATCTACCACCTTCTCTACCAATTCACTCGAAACACTCAATGGTCAAACTTGAGTTGAAGTTCCCATGATCTTCTACCGTATCTCCTCTCGTGTCAGACAATAATTAGCAAACTTCAAATAAGAGGCCAGAAGTATTCACCAGATCTTGTCAGTGAAAACGGAGACTTCAACCCATTCGATGTGTTTATTGTGCACGATGTGAGGAGATGGTACACAAAGATGAGTAACACATTCTGCGGCATGTACGGAGTATCGATTCCACACTATCTCCAGATACCTTATCATTGTGAGGCCAAAATGCCCTGTCACGGAATCTAGATCAAACGTCCCCAGAAAGAGTGCACTATCAGTCAACGCCACTCAAAGACTAAACCCCCACTTCTCAGTCAGCTGCGACTCCTCGCCATAGACATACTATTACTCCAGCATAGTGTCGAGCGACCAACTTGATAGGTCAGTTCATCAGATGCGTACAGGAATCTGTCTCTCAACATAAATCGCTCTACATACCTTTATCAAGGCATAAAGTCATTGATGTTCTTCGCAATATTGCGCAGACATACCATTCAGGCACAACAATCACAAATCGACATGGATTACGAGAAGAAGAATATAGCGTCTCCTGGCGAGAGCATGTCCCCTGATACCGAGATTGGAACTGTCGTCGACATTGGCGACGAGGGCACTCGCAATTTCTACGGCAACTCCATCTCGGACAGCTACCGCATGAAGTCGGAGATTGTGAATCAATGTATGGAGGAGATTGGTATGGGAAGGTATGACAGTCTGCAAGACTCTTCTACCTGACCTGGCTGATGTTCAATAACAGATACCAATGGGAGCTATTCGTCGTCAGCGGGTTCGGATGGATCACAGACAACTTGTAAGTGCTTGCCATGCAATCCCAACGACTCTTCTTGAGCTGACTGAATCTAGTTGGTCTCAAGGTATCGGCTCAATCCAGCCATCTGTAGCGCTCGAGTTCGCCGGAGTGACGAATATCACCCTCAGCTCGGTTGCCTACTACGCTGGTTTGATCTTTGGGGCCTTCTTCTGGGGCACAAGCGCAGACCTCATTGGCAGAAAACCAGCGTTTAATGCGACTTTGATCATCGGAGGTTTATTCGGCACCGCTGTTGCTGGATTGAGCAACTTCACTGCCTTTTGCATCTTCTGGACCGTCATCGGAACAGCGGCTGGCGGTAATGTGCCTGTAGACTCCATGATCTTCTTGGAGTTTGTGCCTGGCTCGCATCAGTATCTTCTTACAGTGAGTTCATAACATCGCAAGATCGAATCAACGCCGACTTAGACGATCTAGGCGCTCAGTAGTTGGTGGATGTTGGGACAAGTCATCGTATCGTTGCTTTCCTGGGCATTCCTCGCGAACTTTACTTGTCCGACGGACTCGACACCAGCGACTTGCAAAAGAGCCGACAACATGGGATGGTGAGTAAGAACGTGTCATTTTCCATGCGACTGCTAACTCTTAAAGGCGTTATACCATGATCACTCTTGGTGCCATGACACTAGTCTTCGCTTTCGTCCGTATCGCCGTATTCAAGATGCCAGAATCGCCTCGGTACCTCATCTCAAAAGGAAGTGACGCCGAAGCAGTCGAAGCCGTCAACTATGTGGCACGCCGAAACGGCAAGTCAGAGCCCTTGACTCTTGCCATGCTTCAGGAAGTAGACAGAGTGACAGGCGGAGAAGTCAAGGCAGGAGCAACCACGAAGCTTTCCAGAAACGCGATCATCAAGGAAAACTTGAAAGACTTCAAGTCAATCAAATACAAGAATCTGTTCGCCAATGCTCAGTTGGCTCGCCATACCAGTATTATTTGGTTAATCTGGCTTACAATTGGTATATCGTCCTGCTCAAGCTTGTGTTCACTTCGACTAACCTCAAGATAGGTATCGCTTACCCCCTTTATTTCAACTTCATACCAACCTACCTCTCCAAAAAGTTCACCGTAGACTCCTCATTGTCGCTCACATACCGCAACTACTGCATCCAGTCCATCGTCTCAGTATTCGGACCTCTAAGCGCCGCAGTCCTGGTAAACACGCGCCTCGGTCGACGTTGGATGCTAGGAGCCTCTGCTATCGTCTCAGGTATCTTCCTTTTCGCATACACGGCTGCAGAGAATAGAGCAGGAGATCTCGCGTTCTCCTGTATCACTGGTCTGTTCGGAAATTTTGGTAAGTACATCCTAAACAGACTCAGCAAGAAGCTTTCTGACTCAATGTAGAATATGCGATAATGTATGCTTTCACGCCTGAATCATTTCCTGCGCCGCACCGCGGTACAGCGACTGGTACTGCGGCTACTTTGCTTCGCATTGGTGGTCTCTGCGCCAGTTTGATTGGCACATACACGGAGTTCAGTGTTGTGCCCATCTACGTCAGCGCTAGCTTGTGGATTGTGGTTGGCTTGATTGCGTTTGCTTTGCCGTTCGAGACTCATGGTCGTGCTGCTATCTGAGACAAGTGTGGGTGGCACCAGAGTTGAGCTTTTGTAACGATAGACAATGTTCGGCTCTATGGCTTTCCCTAATTATCTGGAAGGTTTGATTAGATTTGGGCAAGTAGAAGGACATGATAGTGTAATAGACAGACCTCGATGATCCTCTCCCACAGAAACCTTGAGCCCATGCATCCTCTTGAAGAGCTCCTGAGCACTAACAGTCCCCTTCCACCCTTCGAGATTCTTCCCCTCAACCGTAAACACCAGCACCTGTAACGGCAAGCAAGTATTGTGCATCTTCTCCGCATTCCAGCCAAACGTTGATTCATCATCCGCCGGACAAGTGCTCAAAGCAAACAACAAATCATTCTACGCGAACATTTCAAGATAACCACCTTTCTTTTGCTGGCCTTGGGTGTAAGCGGTAGTGATCTTGTTCATCTATATCTGTGATTGGGAGCATGTTGACGTTGTCGTGAACGTCTGATTCGGCGAGACCAAAAGGGAGGATAGCTCTGACTAGGTTGGAGATTAGAGCTCTGTCTACTTTTGCAGTTTGGTGGTACAGCTCTCTGTCGACGAAGAGCGGCGAAGTATGGAAGTTGGAAGGAAAGGTTAAGTTGAAGCTTGGGAATGTCGGTTACTCGATAGGCCGGGATCTGCTATCTACGATAACCTACCATGTGCGGCGCATTGAAAGTTTCGAGATCGCTCTCCTTGCCCGAAGAGCCTCTCTCCTGCTCTCAAAACGGTTACTGTTTTCAACAGCATCGACTGTGCCCAAATATCTCGAGATCAATTCATCTAGTAGATAAGAATATGACTTGTGCTGTGGTCGACCTTGCGGGGTGTGATCAAAGCTTCGAAATACCAAAGCCGTTCCACTTGGCAATACCCAAGCTGTCCTTGGTGATCTCCTTGATACTTCTGACGCCAGCCAAAGCCATAGTGCGTGAAAGCTCTCTCTCCAGAATGTTACAAATAGCCTCCACTCCCTTCTTTCCGTCGTAGCTCAAGCCCCAGAGCACAGGGCGTCCAATCAGCACGAGATCAGCTCCAAGTGCGATTGCCTTGAACACGTCAGAGCCGCGACGGACACCACCGTCAAATATAACAGGGATGCGTCCAGATACAGCCCCTGCGATGGCAGGAAGAACTTCGATTGTGGCTGGGACCAAATCAAGTTGTCTGGTAGTACGATTAGCAACGATATGATTATTCTCAGGGGCTTCCAGCTCACCTCCCGCCGTGATTCGAAACGACAATAGCATCAGCACCGTGCTGGACAGCCAGCTTTGCATCTTCTGCAGTCATGATGCCCTTGAGAATGATCTTCATGGAGGTTGCTTTACGAAGCCAAGGGATTGTGTGCTCCCAAGTGAGGCTCGAGCTGTGCATGGTCGGTCCAGACTCCTTAACGATCTCATTGGCTTCCTCGACTGTGTGTGCGTTGAGAAAGATGCGCTCCTTTGCTGGCTTTCTCTCACCCTTGGGACGGTCGTAATTCTCCAGATTCATACCTTCGGGCAGGACCAGGGGTGTCTTTCTCTCATTGATACGATTACCAAGGACAGGTGTGTCCACAGTAAGTATAAGACCAGTGTAGCCAGCTTTCTCAGCACGCTTGATTAGCTTTAGACTGTACTCAGGGTCTTGAGTGAGGTAGAGCTGGAACCAGAAATCCGGGCCGTCTGGTTTGGAGATGTTGCAGGCTTTTGCCACATCTTCCAAGCTAGTTGTGGATTGCGAAGACAAGGTCATTGATAAACCGATACTTGCTGCAGCTTCCGCAGTCTCTATCTCTCCCCTAGGATGGCAGAGTCTTTGCATTGCGCTCGGAGCAAAAGCCACTGGGAAAGGATGGCGTTTGCCGAAGGTCGTTGTGCTTGTGTCGATATGTGTGACATCGACCATGACACGCGGTGTGATTAGAAGTCTGCGACACTTCAGTTTCAGACCTCAATCACACGGGATTCAATCTTCGTATCTTACCTATCGAGCATATAGACATTTCTGTCGCGCGCCTTTTCTTCATCTGCTCCGCATGAATAGTAGTCGTAGACGTTCTTCGGCAATCTTGTTTTGGCGATCGCCTCAATCTCCGTCACCGTGATCGGGACTGTCGAGGAGGCTGCTTTTTGGCTCATGATATCCCTTGCGTTATAGTGCTATTGGTTCAGGAGAAGCGCGAGTTGATGTTATGATTTGGTGGAAAGCGAATTGTTGGTTGTAACGTGAAGGTGTGTCGACGGTCAGTGACGATAAGGACCCCACTCTTCACTGCCGAGCGCGGTCCGTCCAGCTCGACGACCATGTACACATCGGCAACCTTCACTCACTTGCTTGATAGCTCATTTCACATTGCAATGTGATGGCCTCGATACAAACACGAATTTAGAACAGCATAGCACAAGGAAAGTTTCACTAGAAGGCCTGAATAAACAGGGTGGCATGTTCGGCAGTCTCGGCTAAACACGGCCAACTTTCTCCGCTCTCTCCCGAGCTTTCTTTCCCCGAACAACTCGACTTCGCCGTCCATCACCAATTCAGAACACCTCTGCAAAAACATCAGCAAATGCTTGTCTAATGATGGCGGTGACTTACCCGTCGATCGCGATGTCATTGCCGGTCATATAGCTGCTCGCGTCACTCGCCAAAAAGATGCACGCGCCTCGAATGTCGTCCGGCATGCCGATTCTGTTATTCATGACCTCTGACTTCCAGCTCTCAAGCAGATGCGGAAACGGCGCTGTCATTTCCGTCTTGATATATCCAGGCGAGATTGTGTTGACACGAATGCCATGCTCGGCGAGCTCAACAGCGGAGGGCGGACACATGGCTCGAACGGCTCCTTTGGTAGCACAGTATGCTGACGAGAATTGACCGCGTACAGCCCTTGAAGCTGCGATGGACGCCACCAGAATGATTGAGCCCTTTATTGTCTTATTCTTGACCATCAGTTGAGCAGCGAGCTGCATGGTGAAGTAGACTCCCTTAACATTGACATTGACCAGTCTTTCGAAATCTTCGGGTGTCGTGTCAAGCAGTGTGACGTTCTTGTTCACCCCGGCACAAGGCACGCAAATATCGAGGGCGCTGTCGAAATCTCGTTGAAATTCCTCGAAACCTCTTCTCAAGTCTTGCGTCGAAGTTACATCTACTTTGTAGAATGCCGTCTTCACACTGTACTTTTTTGCAAGTTTGGAAAACGCTGCGTCCGGTTGGATCATGTCGAAAATTGCGATATTTGCACCTGCTTCAGCGAGTCCTTCGGCCATGGCTAGGCCGCAGCCGCGAGCTCCGCCAGTCACCAGCGCGGTTCTGCCTGTCAACGAGAACTGCTCGTGTTTAGCGTTAGAGAAAACACTTGCGAAGAAAAGTCTATCATACTCTCGACATTGGCCTTTCGGATTATTGATATTGATGTATCTGCAAGCGACTCGAATGTAAATTGTGAATGCTGGACACATTGTCGTCTCCAAGCGGTTCAATAGTTTTGACGCTCCCCACTCTCACGGCTACCACAGTACCTCATCGCAATGAGATTCCAGAGGCCTATGGCGCCCGTGCTTTCGAAATGCAATGCCGTTCGCACGAGGAATGACAGTCCTCGTCTCTTCAAGGATGGGGGCAAAGTTGGGACTCGATAACGATAGGAAGCAAGCTCGGCATGCCACTTCAGATCCCGAACGTCGACCGCGGGTAGATTTGTACGATCACCTCATAGAGAAGTTGATATAGGTCGAAGAATAACTTTGACATGAGATGGCCAGATCCTTGGAAACACACCTTACCCTGACATACTCAAAAGTTTCACCAAAGCCATCTCAAAAGTGAGTACTTGGACAAGTCTCTGGAAAATTGCTAATCTAACAGATACAGTGTCCGACCAAGACCAAATAACCACCCTCCTACGTACCTACGGCGCCGTCCTATCCACCCGCTCGCTCCCCTCCGTGCTGAACCTCTACACCACCGACGGCGTCCTCATGGCCCCCAACTTTGCCCCCTCCGTGGGTCAAGAAGCGCTCAAGAAATCCTACGAACGCATTTTCTCCACCATCAAACTCGATATTCAATTTACAATCGACGAAATCGTGGTCATGGATGATAATTGGGCATTTGCGAGGACTACTGCGGAGGGGACGAAATATTGGATCGAGAAGGGGACGCAGGAGAGTCATCATAATCAGGAGATCTTTGTTTGTAGGAAGGATGAGGAAGAGTGGAAGATTGCGAGGTATTGTTTCTCTAGTATGAAAAGGTTGTAGACTTGGTCGATGATGAGCTGCGATCAATTGTCTTGTTCTACTTCGCATTTCGTGCGTTTCTCAAGTGCAGATTTATCTCTAGGATACAGTAAGTGTCAACAGAAATCATATCGGATTCATGGTTATGATAGTTTCACGTGTCAGAGGCTAGTCTAAGTATAGGTGCGATGACTTCGCAACTAGCCAGTTGTTGTTTTTACCAATTTAAGTCTACTCGTGATGACATACAGCCAGCCGCTTCATCCAGCTTGGAGACAAAATCTTCCTCTTCATCTTCTTTCGAACTATTGGATCCCTTCGGGACAGCCGGCCAAATCTCCTTGCCACCTTGCGCTTCCTCTCTCTTGCGATGTTCCATAACCATCTCTCGTACGTTCTTCTGGAAGTACAAAGGACCCTGATAGATCTGTTAGCAACCATTGGATTATGCTCGAGTGCGGATCTGCTCACTTTTTCCTTCTCGGGATGCAACTCTCCATTAACGAATATTCCGGCGCTGAGGTTCTCCTGAGCGGCCTCGCACAACTCTTTGTCTTCGTTCAGGACTTGTACGTAGAAGTCGTTGATGGCTTTGAACTCTTCATCTCCGGCTGTGACATGGCGGAAAACTTCGTACTCAATCTTGCTGGTCGTTGCTGTGACTGGGAACATGCGTTGGATGTAGAAGAAATTGTCCCTGAGCATATTAGTCTTGTCATTCCCATCGGATTATACAAGTAGACTTACGTCACGGTAACACTTGTTGTCGGGTAGAAGAAAGTGATGTTTCTCCTGAATTGTTCGTCTGTCTGTGATTTGTTGAAGATGTTATGCTCCATATATCCATTCGTTGTGTCGACTCGATATTTTGTCAAGTCCGAAACTCCAGCAATAAGAGGGTGGGATGTGGCGCAATGGTAGCATTCATTGTAATTGTCAATCAACGACTTCCAGTTGGCTTTGACGTCCATCTCCCAATAGTGGTCAAATACAAACTCTTTGGCAAAATCAAACATCTTCATCCTTGGTGAATCATCAATGCCTTTGAATTTGTCGTCCCATTTGATGTCCGGCTCGCCAGCTTGTAAGTTGACCCAGATGAAACCAGCCTTGTCGACATGGACATGAATGGGCAACAAGCCATGCTGACCCTTGTCAAACCCTTCCACTGTTTCGAATCTGGGAGCTTTGGAGAGATTGCCTTTGAGTCCGTACGACCAGCCGTGGTATTTGCAGCTCAGAATGCTAGCAGTACCGCATTGAGATTGCACGACAGGATATGCTCGATGTCTGCATACATTGTGGAAACCATTAACATTGCCATCCCTGTCCTGGATCAGAAAGAAGGAGATGCCAGACACGGTAAAGGACATATAATCGCCGGCTTTGGCAAATCTCAGAGAGTGGGTGAGAATGATCCAGCTTCGTTGGAAAATTGCTCTGCGTTCAAGTTCGTATAAAGCATCGGATCTATACCAACTCGCCGTTAGATTTCGCTGAGGTTCTGGTTTGGTGTTTGGTGCTTCTGTCGAAGAGCGGGAGAATAGACGCCACATCTCGGATGAAGAATTCCGAATTGGCAAGGCGTTCAAGGAGGGAGATGGACGATGAGAATCAAATGACTGTTGTGATCCATTGAACCAAATGTTAATGTGTCTTGTATCTCATCAGCAGGTGAGCAGCTGGATTGTGTGGTAAGCATCAAGAGTGGGGTTGACCCACGCTCGGAAGGAAGCCGCGATAGGCCAGACCGAAGCCGCATCCTACCAATTTCGTCCACTGATAAGCTCAACAAAAGTCAGCTTCAACCGCGATAAGCCTAAACAAGACATACGTAAGTCCACATGTCTATGCCTTCCCGGATGGGTCAATGCAAAAACACCAACAAGATGAAGCAAACAGTGGAAACCAAACAACGCAGTGAAACTCGTTACGATTATTGGACTTTGTATCATGAGCTCTTAGCTTTCCGCATTGCTTCCTCGCGGCTTGCAGGCATCAGACCTCCAGCCGGCGGAGTATTCTTGCTTTTGAACTCATCCGACATCTGCTCAAACGTCACCCACTCGACGCCCTCGTGTGAATTGACAAATTCTATTCATGTCAGTATCGAATAAAACCACATGTGATATGTTATCCACCGATTATGCGTTCATGCATCAGAAGAACGTGAGGTCTACCACTGACATCTGAAGCAAAGTCAGCGAGATGCTTGTGACATCCAATTTGGTGTACTTACCAGGATGGATAGTCATGGGGAAGATGAACTCATCAAACTCTCGGTAGTAGTATGTAAAATGGTCTTTCCATATATCCTCGATGTCTCGGGGATTGCTGGTCGATGTGTGAGCATCCAGGTTGATGATGATGGAAAGAGCTTACTCACACCCAGCCATGGCTGTTCGCACTGTTCTTGATAAACATCATGGGCGGCAAGTCATCAATGTACCAGCTGATGAGTATTAGAAAATGCTGGCCACTGTTGAAAACCCTTTGTCTGACGTACCTTCCAGGGATTTCAACGAGACCTGTTTCTTCACCCTTGATCAAAGGCTTCATCCAATCCTCAGCTTTCTTGGAGTAGTCGATCTTTGTCCATGTATCGCCAGTTCGAAGCCAATACATCTGACAGTCTTCATGACTCATGGAGTGGTCATACTCGATGCCGTAAGAGAGGAGAAGCTCAGTGCCTTCTTTGCTTGTCTCCCACCATCTATCACAAGTCAGTTTTGCGACTGTCGAAGAATAAGAAGTGACTCACGGAGCAACACTACCTCGAGGCGGCTTACCGCAGAACTCTGTAAGCATCTTAAATGTCTTGTCAAGGACATCTTTTTGTTGCTCAAATGTCATGTCCGCTGGATTCTCGTGGCTATAACCATGGAGTCCAATCTCGTGGCCGGCATCGCGGACAGCCGCACAGTCTTCTGGAAAGGTTTCGAGTGTATGTCCAGGAATGAACCAGCTTGCTTTGATGTCGTATTTGTCGAAAAGCTTGAGTAGTCTTCTAGTGCCGTGTGTCCCTGCCCAGATGCCTCTGCTAATATCGCTAGTGGAGTCTTCACCGCCATAGCTGCCAAGCCAGCCAGCAACAGCATCGATATCGACACCTAGGAAATCAGTCAATCGTATGAGATTCGCTTTCGGATGTTCTTACCATAACCGACGAGAACTCTTTTCTTGCCCATTGTGAATTGTGTGTTGCGAGGATTGAATATTGTCTCGCAGCAGTCCAGAAACGAGGTGGCAAATGTCGCAGTCGATGTTTAGGTGATGTAGTGTCGATTATGTATGGCCTCGGGGAGAAGGGTGGGGGCTTGGATAACCTTACGCAGAAACGAAGCTTCCCGAATTCGTTTGTGCTACAAGCTCTATTGGAAGGGATGAATTCGAACATCAAAACGTCAAAGTTCGGCATCTTCCCTGATTACCATACTCCATTGGCTTGCCAAGATGATCTTGATACGGACTGCACGGGTTGATAAGCATCTCCTGGTGCAATCTGCATCCCACTCTTTACTCCAGCGTTGTTGCCAAACTTTGCAACCTCAAACACCCCACCTTCTGTAGACCATGCAAATCTCCACCTTGATGAAGTTACTTGTCAAAAGTGTGAAAAGACCTGGTCGACGACATACATAAGATTTGCCTGTCCGGTCCAAAGCTGAAGTATAGTTCCTGCTCACTTACGAACCTTTGACAGAACCAAGCCCATCGCAATCATGCCTTCAGCCATTTCACCTCCCGCCTTTAGCCCTCTTAAGGATACCGTCCTCTTCAAGCCATGGAAACTAGGCAACATCACACTCGAACACAAGCTTGTGCAAGCTCCTCTGACTCGTATGAGGTGCAGCAAGAATGATGAAGGCATCAACATACCATCCGACCTCATGGTGGAGTATTACGGACAGAGAGCCAGCAAAGGAGGACTTCAACTCACTGAGGCTACTGATATCTCCCGATATGCGAGCGGTTATCCCGGAGTGCCTGGCCTTTTTTCTGAGGAGCAGCTCGCCGGCTGGAAGCGCGTGACCGATGCTGTACACGCCAAAGGTGGCTACATCTTCTGTCAGATATGGCACACCGGACGTGCTTCGCCAGCTGGACTTCTGGGCGGAAGACAGCCTCTCAGTGCTAGCAACACCCCAATCGCTGGTAAGGCACTGGATGGTACAGACTTCAGTGCCACACCTCCAAAGCCCATGACTACGGAGGAGATCGCCGAAGTGGTTGCAGATTTCGGTAAAGCCGCCCAAAATGCAATTGATGCTGGGTTTGATGGTGTCGAGGTCCATGGTGAGTTGATCTCAGTTGACATCTTCTGTTCAAAGTCTGACTCGATTTTAGGCGCCAATGGCTACTTGTTGGATCAGTTCCTGCACGACAATGTCAATACTAGAACAGACAGTTACGGAGGCTCGGTCGAGAACCGATGCCGCTTCCCTCTAGAAGTCGTCAAATCAGTCTGCGATGCCATTGGTTCGCACCGTGTCGGCATTCGTCTTTCCCCATACAACTACTTTCAGGACACGAAAGACAGCGACCCTAACTCACACTGGGCTTACCTCTGCGAACAACTTGCTGCCCTTCCTCAACAGCACAGACCAGTCTACGTGCACAGTGTAGAGCCTCGCTTTGACGAAGTCCTCGACGAGAAGGCCAAGATGGACGCCCTGTCTGCGTATGGTCCTGGCAAAGGCGTCGAGGCCGAAGCTACTCGCAAGATTGGCCACTCCCTAACCCCATTCCGAAGAATCTTGTCCAAGGGCGATATCCAATTTTTCGCCGCTGGTGCTTACACACGCGACAATGCTGTTCCCAAGCTCGAAGCAGATGACGCTGATGCCATTGTCATGGGCAGATGGTTCATTGCTAACCCGGATCTGCCGAGACGACTGGCCGAGGGACTGCCTCTCAACAAGTACGATAGAGACACATTCTACGGCGCGACCCCGCCGCAGAAGGGCTACACGGATTACCCCTTCTTCGTTGGCGGAGCGGAGGAATAGGCGGAGGCTGCGGCATCTACAAGGAATCAGTATCTTGTAGTCATGACACATAGAAATCGACATGCTTGCACCAAAGTCAGTGATATGTCTCGAATGTGTATCCCACTCTTGAAGATACCTAATCTTGTCCCCCATTTCTGATAAGAGGCGAAGCTGTGCAACAGGTCTCCTTATCAGCGAATGTGCGGGGCTGTCCGTGCACTCGTGAGATCTCTTCGGGGAAGCCCTGTCAACCTCAACCCACGCCTTCTTCTCGAGTAGTTGCACCGTGAACAGACTGAGGTCCAGAGCGCAGCGAGCCCTGGTAACCTGTTCGGGACATTCAACACGATGCCGCTCGGCCACCTATCCGCCGCTTCGTTCAGTCTGCCCCGCACGCCTTGTGTTGCGTTGCCTATCGCTCTTGCCCTACAAGCTGATAAGGTGACCATGCCATGTTCATCTCATCAACTGAGTTTTGAACATTCCATCTAAGTCTCATTGCTTGACTCCTCTCGACATCGCTATTCGTCACAATGCGCCAGTCTAAATCTACCGCAGGAGCAGAGAAGAGATTCGTTTGCAACCACGATGGGTGCGATCGAAGATTTACTCGTCATGAGCATCTACAAAGACATTACCAGAACCATGCTGGTGGCGATTTTACTTGTGACAGATGTCGAGCTCACTTTAAACGCCGTGATCTTTTAGATCGACACATTTCGCGACATGAAGCAAAGGACGCCGAAGGCAGTGCTCTGATGACACGAAAGCGTTCTTGGAAAGACGCAGATGGGAATATTGTGGCCAAGAAGCCTCACCTCGACGAGTCCACCGAGAATGAGAAGTCTGAAGAGAGGAACCTGAACAGTGATGCTGCTCCTCTGTTGTCACCACCATTGTCCTTCGGCACTGCAGACGTTCAAGGTCCGGATCTTATGAACATGGAAACGATGGATGACTCGCTACCTCTCTTCCATGATCAAAGACGGATATCGGAACTGGACGAGGCAATACTGGACCAGAATAACCTCTTCCCGGATCTGTCAACTCATACCATTGATGATAATCTTTTCGAAGATGCTTTCAATCCTGACACAGGTTTGATACCCGTGCAACTACTCTGGAGGCCAATCGACTGACCTTAAACAGCGAGCTCGTTCAACATGCCATATACTACCATGAGCAATTACAACTGGTTGTTTGACCTTGACACTAATAATATCAATAACGACTTCAGCTTTGAACCCATGGACTGTAATGCCTTCCCGGCAATGCAAGCGGATGTTCGTTCGAACGACATGATGGACTTCGATTTGTCCGACCTACCCTCTGGAGTTGCTACAATGGCACCGCATGCTCCAATCGCCCCTATGGCCATTCCCCAACAGAGTAATCAACAGTCTCAAGTATCGATGCCATCTCAAGCGTCGTCCACGAACGGCTCTTCCAATGCGGACTCAAACTCTTCGAGGTCCTCGCCTTCGACCAAGGCGACATCAGTTTCTTCTGAGACGCGTCAACGAAGGCCAAGGCAAACGGCCTCAAAAAGATCGGCTTTCTCCAACGGCCTGGAGCGACCCATGACACTCATGAGTGCTAATACCAAGCTGCCAAAACTGGACGCCTTGGCTCGATCTCACATCCTACAACTGGTCGAGAGCGTTCGGCCTGTCACACCCTCGGGTGATTATGTGACATCTGATCATGCTTTCTTATCTCTTCCTGCATTGCAAACTTATTCAGATCTCTTCTTCACCAGGTTCAACGCGACGTATCCCCTGATCCACATATCTTCGTTCGAGCCGTCAAAGGTGGACACTCTTCTTCTTCTGTCTGTGCTGTTGCTTGGTGCAACATACTGTGAGAAGGATGCCCATCAAATTGCGGTAAGTCCGACCATTTCTATCACCCGGAAAGTACTGACACTTTGTCAGGTGTGCATTCATGATGTTCTGCGCCCTCAAATCTTTGCCCATGCTAGTTTCAGTGCTGTCCCAGAATTATGGATGCTCCAGACCATCTTGCTTGTTGAATGTTTCGGCAAGTCTCGAGCAGGACAGAAGCAACATGACATGTCACATCTATTCCATGGGTTATTAATCAATCTCATTCGTCGCAGCGACTGCCAAATCGTCAAACCAGAGTCTTCTGCAGATGCCAATGGTGACCTTGAGGACGAATGGAAAAGCTGGGTTGATGCGGAACAGAAAAAGAGGTATATTTCAAAATCATCAACTATCCTATGACCACACTGACATCAGCTAGATTGGCACTTCTTTGTTTCATGTGGGATACACAGCACGCTGTCTTGTTCTGTCAGTCTCTGTGCATGTCGGCATTCGAGCTTCGATGTGCCTTACCGTGTGACCAATCTCTTTGGGAGGCAGATTCCGCCGAGAGCTGGCAGAAGCTCCGAAAGACGCAGAACACTCCTCCGCTATTCTTAACTGCACTGAAGCAACACATTGGCGCTCAAACACCGGCTGTGACGCACAAATTGAATGGGCTATCTCGCGTGTTGATACTGCATGGTCTCATGTCAGTCGCTTGGGACATGAACAGAAGGGACCAGACGTCTTTAGGTGAGTTATACTGGCGACTGCATCATCAAGAACCAGCTCTGACGGTCTCTCAGGCGTTGTCGGGAGCAACATGCTCGATGGCTGGAAATATCGTGTCGCAGTATCTTACGACAGCTGGAAAGCCGACTTCGACACCTACGTGATGTCCGTCACTCAGACGCTTTCCCAATCATACGCGTTCATGACTCCGGCAGAACAACAGGAAACACGCCGAGGATTCGCAATCTACTCAACCGCCAACTCTGCACTGTACCATGCAGCCTATGTAATTCTCTTTTCCGACTTCCTGGACATCCAAATCTATGCTGGTGCCAGACATCTACTCGGACGGCCGGTGCGCCGAGAAGACTATGCCCGCTCCCAGCGCGTGGTAAAAAGATGGGCTAACGAGCAGAATTCGCATGCGTCCAAAGCAGCTTGGCATGCTGGGCACATCATAAAAGATGCCGTCATGAACCTTGATGACTTCGATGCTGGAGGTCTCTTCATTCATCCCTGGTGTCTCTACCTCGCCACTATAACGATATGGTCTTTCCACCATGCACGTCCTGGCGGCAAGCAGAACAGAGGATCGGAAGACGACGAAGACGAGATGATCTGGGATGTACAGGCGGACATGAATGGCTTGATCGGCAGCATTACCAGTGGGACTGCAGAACAGCTTTCTTCTTCACTGGCGAGCAATAGGCGAATGAGTACCGCTGGGCTCACGGCGGTCATCTCGAAACAGTTGAGTAAGGTCAGGTGGGCTGTGGTAAGAGATGGAATGTTGGTCTTGAAAGGACTGGTGCCGTGGAGACTCATCAATGAAACCGATACATGATGATAGAATTTTGTAGATGTAGCTCACATAGATCTCTCCATTCACCTAGCCTCTGGAGAAGTAAGACACCTCCTCACAACTTCAGCAATCCTACTACCCTCGACGACCCCGTCCAGCGCCTCCAATACAACTTCTCCTCTAACCATGACTCCCCACATCACCAAAGCAACAGCCCAAAAATCCACAAATTGCGGTAGTTGTCTTCCTCCATAAAACACCCCTCCCTCATAACCCTGTGACTGCAGCTCTCCACTTTCTTCGTAAAACTCCACGACCGGCATCAGCGCTTTCTCCATCACCTTCTCCAACCCACCCATCTCTTGCTCCTCCGCCAAAGCGCGTTCGCGACACTCTTTCAAAGACCCGAGAAAAGGCCTCTTGCTCTCCTCGATGTATTCTGCACCTGCGGGATCGAGTATAAGAGGTGTAAATGGAAGAACATGTTGCATATATCCCTCCATCATGACATTTCCGAACACTTTATCGTCGAATTCAGTAGCCGCAGCGGTAGATTCAGCGGCGTTGGGGAATAAAGCGGTGGCGTGAGAAGGATTGAGCGTGCATAGGTATCGAGCGATTTCCATCGATCCCATGATCGTGTGGGAGGATGTGGTTGCTGTTGCTGGGATAGTGATGGCGGGAAGAGTGTATGCTGGTGCTGCCTTGGTCATCGATGCGGGGACATCGAGCGAGGATAGAAGCGGTTTGATGTTGGGATAGGAGACTGGGATGTGGGTGTATGGGATGTTGAGATGCTTCAGGGTGAGCAAGATTCGCATTGTATATGGAGACCATGTCTGCGGCCATCTTTCGGAAAGGACGTCGTAGAAGATGAGGCGTTCGGCGGTGGATGCGGACATTTTGGTGATTGGGCGGCTCTGCGGATCGTTGGGATGTCGGTGTTTTGAGACGTCGGTAAGATGGTCTGCCAGTCTGCCAGTCTCTAGAATACTCGGTATCTGTTGTAAAAATATGATCTTCGTACGTTCTGATGCAGGTCGACATATATTTCAGTTCGAGCTTTGGGAAACTGTTGTCGCTGACTAGATCTGTAGCCCACGCTGTCAAACCTTCCATGGTTACCATTACATGTGGAAGCTTCCATTGAGGCGTCATTTCTCCATTTCTTACCTCGCTATATAGATTTAGTCAACAGAGTTTGGCGTGGTAGAAGTGCTGATTCCACAGCTTTTGGTTAATCGTGCGATAGGTGAACTCATCTGTAGCTATGAGCTTTTACGATCAATCGGTCTTTTTTATAATCGTTGTGTTTTCATCGTAATGTCCCATTGCTTCGAAAAGATCAGTTGGTGCCTCTACCGTATATTTATGGCTGTCACGACTCACGATCCCAAAGCTTCGGGGTACAGAGACTGGAAGGTGATCAACAAGAATATCACCCTGGTCTCTAATGATATTTACGGCATGTCAATCGAGATAGAGAACCTGGCAGGATTCGGAGCCGAGCAAAGAGACAAGGCCTATGACACCGCACAAAATTCACTGATCTCAGGAAAGTGCAGGCATGGGCTCTGCAGCGGGTCTGGACAGAGGTGAAAATACAAAAGCAGAATCATCGACCTCTTGCTCTTGTCCGCCTCGGGCTCTCTCAGCTGTGTTCTACCCCTTGATTGAAGAACAAGTCCATAAAAGCGGTCTGCCAACTCGATTGGAGATAAACGATCAAGAGAGATGGGCAATCGCGACGCTGACTTTTATACTCGTATCCGACAGAGCAAGCATTGCCTCGATGGTTTGCAGCGGAAGTTGGCATGCCCAGATGGGATCGGAGCGGACATTTTTTAACCATGCTCAATGGAGCTGCTTGCCTTTCCACGTCTCTATAAAACGACCACCGATCTTCTCCACCACCTAATCTATACACTGCTTCCAGCGAACACACACTATGGTCACTTCCAATTTGGCTATTTGCTTTGCTAGATACTATATCTCCGTACAGAAATTCTGGAATTACATATCTGATGAGTCCGCCCAAAGATCCTTCTTTGGATGTCATCAGTAAAAAGAACACACTAAAAGGGTATAAAACGATTGCTCATCGCTTTCTCCATCAAAATCAAGAAAATGTCATCAGCCTCCTCAAGAGTTTGATCGTGGAGAGCACCTCATGGTAAGAAACTATGTGCTACAATCTTCTCAACCTTCATGTTTCCTCATGTCAGAACGAACACCGGGTAGAAGGGAGGACCGGGTACATGAAACATGAAACTCTTCCCCCATTCCTCTTGACACGGGGAGATGATAGGAGCAGCCGAATTGCGGTGGCCGATACAACTTCTGGAACGTTCATTGACCTGGTGATTTTGTCTTTCTTGACCCGTATCAAATACGGACTCACCATCATGTGTTAGGGACCTTTCTCTGGGAGATTAGCTTGAATCCCAGCCTTGATCCATGGATAAGTAGAAATTCGGATCAACCAAATGCATACTTGAACACAAAGAAGCAGAGACATGAGGATGTGAACGAAAATTGAAAATTCCATGGAAGGAAGGCCTCGTAATTTGCTCCATAGCAACACCGTTCGTACCAGTATGTTTTTGTCCAGATTCGCGTCTATATTGTTCTGATCAGATCATACGAGTGCCCTTCATCCTTATCGATACAAAAGTGCTGACAATATATAGACAATATCTACCGCCATCTCTCCTCTTTGCTAATCAGCAGTGCGCTCACCAATCAGTTGAAACTGTAGAGATGATGCAGGCAGGAGGTTCTGATATCGAGCGAGGCAAATTTTGACAAAGGCCGAGTGGAACGACACGTGAGGTAGATATCCAGGTCAGTAACACAGCGATCATTTCTTGCACTCCAATGTCAGCTCGATAGCTATTAAACAATGTAATGCAAGACCTACCTCCTATATCGAACAGAGAACATATTCCAACTTTTGGTTTCGCAGACCTGCCCCTCTCCTTCTGCTGTTCTTTTCCCTAGCCCTTCCTGTTATCATACAGAGATGATAGAATAACAAACACAACAGCGATAGGGAATGCAAAGCCGGCATGCCATATATCGGTCGCCAGCGAACGTATACCAGGCTACTATCAAACCCGAAAAAAAAAGGCTTTTATATCCTCTATCATCCCTACTGCTTTCCCTTACAGTATCCAATAGCACGAGAAGTAAGCACTTATCTTCAAATAACGACATTATCCACCACGTCTCACTTCTTCAATGACTTTCGACATCCTACTCAAAAAAAACACAAAATTGTTGGGAATAATGACTATACACATTTTGCAGCCTCCCGGTATGCGGAACTTTATTCACGCGTATAGTTGTAGAAATGCACAATGTTTGTAAGAATCAGTACAGCCTTCCACTTGAGAATGTGATGGTTAGCGCCTGTCTACGGACGAACGACCAGAGCGATTTTTGAGAAACATTGTGCATTTCTAGCAGACTACACAATGCTAGGCATGGCCGTAGAAAAATGCCTAGAAGTGATAGGAATTTAGCATACGGGGAGGGAGGTAGGTAGATAGTAAATATGCAATATCATGTGTAAAAGCAAAGATTAACAAATAAGATTGGGAAAAAAAAGAATGATGCCGAGTATAAAGCACACATATGAGCGGAATGGTTTTTTGGATATTGATGATTTCTTATTATGACTATTGCTGCCGAGATTCTACATTCTCGAGGCAGTCATTATGTGATTACATATACATAGCTTTCTTGGAGTCTCAGAATTTAGTATCTGTTTTGCTTCAAGAAGCTGCCGATGAACTTGTAGGCATCCATGGCGGTGTAGTGCAAATTGACACCGTGACCAGTGGAAGGAGCAAGGTAGTTGTCCTTGGCCATAGAGGCAGGGTAGAGAGCGTTAACAGCAGCCTCAGCGAGGTTCATGGGGTAACTGCAGTTTCCGAAGCAGAAAGGCAGATCAGCAGCACCATTGACAATGGCAACGGGACCGGTAAAGTTCATGGCAGGCGAGGCGATGGCGGCCTGAGTGAACAGCTCACCAAAGGTGACGGAACCCTTGGCGGCCTCACCAGCGGCGAGGATCAGAGGGTCGAAGTTGGGGGCGCGGAAGAAACCGTATTGGTTGCTAACGGCGGAGTAGTCGACGAGGTAACCGTTGTTCAGTCCAGCAAATCTGTAAGGCTGATTCTGAGAAGCGATCTGCAAGTTCAGTGCGGTGACGAAAGCGGGGATGGCGGTCTGGTTCATTGAGAAGCCGGTAAGGATGGCAGCGTCGAAAGTGGTGGGGTGCATAGAAGTAACCGCTTGAGTGATGGCACTACCGAAAGAGTGGCCGACACCGATGACGGTGCTGAAGTTGGTGCCTCCGAACTTGCTGTTACGGAGAGACATGGCGAGCTGGTTTGCGATGCTGACCTCAAGAGGTCCCTGGACGACCTGGATGGGGTCGGGAGTGGAGGACAAACCAACACCGAGACGGTCGTAGCTGAAAGTAGCATAACCCTGCTCGATAGCGTAGTCGACGTAGCTGTAGCCCGCGGCAAAGTCCCAGTAGTAACGATCAAAGCCAATACCGTGGGTGAGGAGCTGAACCGAGCTAGGAATAGTGCCGTTGGCTGGCATACAGAGGGTAGCACCAATACTGTAGTTGCCCGAGACGTTGTGCATGCCTCCCATAATGCTCTGTGCGAATGTTGAACCCTGAGTAATGTACTTCAGGAAGGTGTCGGTTACATCGGACTCGTTGGCAGGGATGCTGAAGTTGAACATGACATTCTCAGCCGATGCCATGACAGGAACATGTCCAGAAACACAGATGGCAGCACCACCACGCGAGGGCTGAACGGTGGGGTTCGAGAAACCAGAAGTCATGGGAGCGTCGATGCCTGCAGGAAGGGCACCGCCAACACTGTTGGAGTACTGCGCGGCAGCAAGGCCGGCGAATGTGAGGAAAGTCAGAGCAGTCATGATGGTCGAGTGTGTGATGATTGATCTGTTGGAAAGCAGTGGGAGTTCATGGTGGTGTTATATCGAGCTCACGGATCATGCTCGCAATGTGACGTCGATGGTGAATCAAATTCAATTGACTTCATGATCATGATTTGGAATATGGCGTTCAAGCAGTCAACGGTACACTACAGATGTCGTCGAAACTTCTTCTTGGGTGAACGCGGGATGTATGTCCGCGTAGTACGGCAATATCGGTGACGTACCTTTATGGGGTCAAACGGGAGCTAAGGGTTATGCTCTTTCCAACCTCACCTCTTGTTCGAACATTCAATGCACGCAAGAAGCTTATAGATCAATTGACTTCTGTCAGATGAGAGCATAGATATGTCTTGTCAGGTGCGACGGATTAGAAAAAAATCCTCAAGAGCATTCTGCTCGAGATCAAGAATTGTTGAGGAACTCAAGATGTGGTGGAAGGAAGCCATTTCCGCGGGAAAGTGCGGAGAATTTGGGAAGCGATCCTTCGATAAAGTTGAGCTTCGATTCTGGCGAGACAAAAGTGACGTGAAGCAACGGTGAATTTGGAAACTTGAGGTTGACCAGATATGGAAATGTCCGAATTGCGATGGTGATCAAAATGTCATATGGCATTCAGTTGTTTCCTCTATGTATTGTTGATGGGCGCTCGATCATAAGCGGCGGGCAAACGCATGCTATCTCAGGGGGGTACAAAGCAGATCAGCAGTCATCTGCAAAGACATGTAGAATCGGCGTTGCTGCTTTATCACGGCGAGTATCTTTGGCTTCAAAGCTGCTCCTCGGCGAGAGAGCAGGGACAGGCACTCTCAATTCGAGCACTTCTTGACATGACCCGAAAGCTGCTCCTCAGAAAGAGCGACACATAGTTGAGTGAGCATCTTCTTCGTCACTCAGGAGAGGCGGTGACGGGCTATGTGCTGCATCCTGTGCTGTTCAGGTTTTGATGTCGTGAATCGTAAGTTCATGAAGCGAGTATGCCTTTTACCGAAGGCAAAGGGTGGCTCTTATCAGAAGCAAATCGAAAGCTCAGATGTATCTGAACATGTTGTTCTTGACTGATCGCTTCATCGATACAGGAACACCATCCTCGTACTCGACACCGGCATCACCGCCGTCGCCGGACATGCCAGCCATCTTTTGGCGAAGCTCATGATCCAATTCAGCTTGAGTCTTAGGCTTCTTCGGTGGCTCAGATTGTACTTGTTTGGCTGCCTCTTTCTGATTCTAGCATAGTCAGAAGCTGTAAATGGGTATGCTGCCATGAAGGACTCACATTATGCTGGTCAGCTGGAGGGGAGGCGGATTTAGAGTTTGAGCTAGCCAGACGAGTCTGCCTGACAGCTGGTGCTCGTAGTTTATGAAGACTCGAGAGGGTCTTCTGAGATGATCTGAATGATAGCAACGACATAGTTACAGCGTAGGATTATGGAAGGTGAAAGGCGTAGGAGGTACTCTTTTCATCATTCTGTAAAGCACCACGCACTTCGCGGCAAGCTCAAGACGTCACAGGCAAGTCATCGTCCAACTAGTCCCGGGGGAGACGCTTTCACGTGACTAGATTGCGAGGCTTGGCAGTCTCGAAGCCGCAATTCACTATTCGCAGCGCCCAAGTCAAGATTGCTATCGACAAAGCTATCACCTTCGCCGTCGCCAGTATGCCCGTCGTCAAGGGAGGAGTCTGGACCAACATCGAGGACGAAATTCTAAAGGCAGCCGTGTCCAAATATGGACTTCAGCAATGGGCACGAGTCTCTTCGCTGCTGGCGCGCAAAACTCCAAAGCAATGCAAGGCGCGATGGTCTGAATGGCTGGACCCCGGCATCAGGAAAATCGAATGGACCAAGGACGAGGATGAGAAGCTTCTACATCTGGCCAAGCTGATGCCTACGCAATGGCGCACCATCGCACCCATCGTCGGACGAACTGCTACACAATGTCTGGAACGTTACCAAAAACTGCTCGACGATGCAGAGTCGCGTGAGAGCGATGAGTTTGGACTTGGAGGCCCCGCCGGCGGCGAAGCTGCTGCCCCTTCAGCTGAAGATGTACGCAAGCTCCGTCCTGGCGAGATGGATCCCGACCCGGAAAGCAAGCCTGCTCGACCCGACACAATCGACATGGACGAGGATGAGAAGGAGATGTTGAGCGAGGCTCGCGCTCGTCTGGCCAATACTCAGGGAAAGAAGGCAAAGAGAAAGGCAAGAGAGAGACAGATTGAGGAATCAAGACGTCTAGCTGTGCTGCAGAAAAGACGCGAGTTGAAGAATGCTGGAATCAACATCAAGGTCGTCACAAAGAAGAAGGGCCAGATGGACTACAATGCAGACATTCCCTTCGAGAAGGCCCCAGCCCCTGGTTTCTACGACACTGGAGAGGAGATTACCACAAACGAACGCGAGCGCGATGCTTTCGACCCCCGCAAACAGCAACTTCAACGCAAGAGACAGGGAGATCAGGATGACAACCCCGAGGATCGCAAGCGTCAGAAGAATGACAAGGGTGGAAACCAGGCCGCTTTTGCTGCAGCTGCAAAGGCTGGTCGTGAACAGAAGCTGCGTGAGGCTGAGCGTAGCAGCAGACGTCGCGGACTGGTCTTGCCATCTCCCCAAGTCAGTGAGGGAGAATTGGACGACATTGTCAAGATGGGAATGGTCGGCGAACGCGCAAACCTACACGCTGGGCAAAGCGACAACGAAGCCACCCGTGCTCTGATTGGAAACTACTCGGACATGGTCGGCTCAACGCCTCTCCGTACCCCTCGCGCTCCACAAGAAGAAGACCGCATCGCCAATGAGATTCGCAACGCAAGAGCAAGGACAGAAACACAGTCTGCACTGCTTGGAGGTGACAACAATGAGCTGTATGAAGGAGACGCCACAACAGGCTTTGGAGGTGTCGCTCCTAGCAAGCAAGCAACTGCTACTCCCAACCCCATGGCTACCCCCTTCCGTCAGAATGGTGTCGCCGCAACTCCCCGTGGCCCCGGCGCTACCCCTCTACGCACACCTCGCGACACATACGGCTTGAACACTGGCGATGGTATGCAGATGATTGCACAAACACCACGAGACCTCCGCCTACAACAGAACGCCCTCCGAAACGATATCAAGAGCAAGCTCTCAGCACTACCGAAACCAAAAGAGATGGACTTTGAACTTGAATTGCCTGAAGAGCAGCAAGAGGTCGGTCCTGATATTGAGATGAGTGAAGAGGATGCTGCTCGCCGTGATGCTAGAAACAAGGCGGCACAGGACGCACTTGCAAGAGCAGAGTTTAAGCGACAGTCACAAGTCGTACAACGGGGTCTACCACGACCGAGCGTGGTCGATCTTGATGCCATGTTGAAGAACGCTGCAGAAGACTCAGACTCGATCAAGAGCAGTATCAATCAAGAGATGGCCCAGCTTATCGCAAACGACGCGCTCAAGTTCGGCAAGGCAAAGGTTAGAGGTACTCATAAACCCACACAAGCATTCTCAGATGATGAAGTCCAACGCGCGCGTCGTGAAGTTGCTCTAGAAATGGGCAAGGATGAGAGAGGCCGTGCATTGCTAGTGGATGGCTTCGGAGCCGCCTGGGAGAAGGCACATGAACGCGGCATGCTTCCCGGTCTTGCTGGCTATGCCGAAGATGAGATTGACGAGCACCAGCTAATGATCGAAGCTTTCGACGTAAGCCCCCTCAAACGTTGCGGATTGAACAAAGCTGACCTTTCCCAGAACATCCAGACCCGCATCATTTCATCTGCAGAAAAGGGCAATACGCTAGAACAGAAATTGGCAAAGCTCCATGGTGGTTACGTGATCAGATCAAAGACCTTGCGGCAAAAGATCAGCGAGGCGGCGGACTTCTTGGCAAAGACAAGTATCGATGTTGATGTCAAGAGGATTGCAGCAGCTGCTGAGGAAGCTGGTCTCAACGATCGCTTGGAGAAGATCAGAGATGAGGTCAATGTTGTCGCCAGGCGTGAAAGAGAGGCCCAGGGCATATTCAGAGAGAGGAAAGAGGAGCTGAATTCGCTTGTGGCAGCATAGATGGACATGACTTCATCCAAGCAAAAGACCTGTTATGTATAGCTTGTATACCCAAATTCTGAGACGACAGACCCGATTGTGGTCAACAATATTTCCATCGTCTCCCTTGCCGCGTCGTGGTACAGACGCGTCGAAGGATGCTTGCCGCGTCAGCCTACCTATTTGACCACACCTTCCTAATTCTGCTGTGTCTGCCTCATGGAAACACGCCTATCCTCGCGTTCGATTCCGCTTATCGTGTTGTTGCCTTGTATCAAATACCACAATCTAGGTCGTTAGTAAGCTATCGCTGACATAAGAAGTGACGATCAACCCCACTTCCCTTCGAGCATCTTTCGACATCATCATTCCATCTCAGCTCCTTATTCCCGCCAGACCAAACAAACGAATCCCTAGAATTCCACCCTTCTGCTTCAATCAAATCTCCTACTCCAATACACGGTGAACAGTTTCGAGTTCTATACACAACGCAGATATGGCATCCGAACTCACCTTCCACGACTTGACCTCCAAACACTGGCCTGCCTCTTGGTCACCATTTACAATCCGCACAACACTCTGCCTCAACTATCTCGGTCTCTCCTACAAACACAATGAAATCTCCTACCCGGATATCGCTTCCTTCCTTCCCACCCTAGGCGTCCAAGCGTCTGGAAAATCCACAGATTTCACTCTCCCCGCTGTAACGTTCCCGGACAAGACGATCATGGAATCCACCGCCATTGCCGAAAAGCTCGCCTCTACATCTGCAGAGTTTGGGAAAAAGTTGTTCCCACAGGGTGAAAAGAGTATAGCGGCGGCCAAAAAATTCGACACCAAAGAAGTCTGGGGTAGGATTTTCACGGCGATGGCGAAGGAGCATATTCTTCCTTTCGTGCCTGCATTTCTAGACGACAGAGGGAGAGAATATTTCTACCGCACCAGGGAGGAAATATTCGGTGGCGGTTTGGATGAGATGAGGGAGGGTGCTTTGGAGGCGGAAAAGGAGCATGGTCTGCAAGCGAAGATTGAAACTGCTCTTGTGCCGCTGGTGGAGTTTTATGGGGAGTTGGATATGCAGGGGAGTGGTGAGGGTGGTGTGTTTGCTTTTGGAGGTGGGCGGCCGCAGTATTTGGATTTTCAGGTTGTTGCTTTGGTGCAGTGGTGGGTTTATGCTAGGGGTGGGAAGGATGTCAAGGCGGCTTTGGAAAGTGTCGGTGGTGGAAGGTTGGCTAAAGTCATGGAGGGATGTAAGGACTTGTTGAAGCCTAAAGAGGTGGCTGCTTCTGTCCATCTGTAATGGAAAGCAAACATACATTCAAGTGGCCTTTCAGTCAGGACTTCCTCCAGACACTATAAAAACCAATCATCCCATCATTTCTATCGTTCCCTACACACTCTCAACACTCTCGTAAGGGATTGAAAAATGGCGGAAGAAATTTCTGCTATGCGACGTCGCAGCTTGATCTTCAAGTGTGTAATGTCATGTGAAAATTCTTGCACGTACACCAAAGTTTCAGTCCGCCACGGGTGGGATATCGGCATCCAACACAAATGTGTTTGACCTTGTCCTCGTACCGGACCGGAATATAGTCCTTCCAGATGAGATCGTTGCGCGCCCAAGCCTTCCTCTTGATGATCTAGCAAACAACACACGGACAGCTCTCGTCCGAGCGCAGCCACACTCGCGGAAGAATTTTGATGTACCCATGTGCGGAAAAGACTCGATTGACGATAGTGGTCGTCTTGAGAATAACGCTTCCGTTCATCCAAGCGTTTGGCCTCCTTGTTTGCCAGAACCCAATCCGGATCTGCGGTCTGTTTGGCTGTATAGCGTACTCTGCTCATCCGCACGGATTCACGGAATGCTTCACTTTCTATAAACTTCCGTTTCTTGTATTCTTTTTGTTTGAGAAGCTGAGCTTTCCGTTTATCGGGATCTTTGCTGAAGGAAGACAAAAACGCTTTTTGGAGGGGTGCCCTGGCACGAAGCAGAACTGGTTTATGTACTAGCTGTGAGAAGAAACCTGTGGTCCATTGGATGAGCGGCGGCATGATTGTAGGATTATGGAGAGGCGTCGTCATTGGTCGTGTTTGACAGGGTATGCAAGCAGTTTGGGTGGGAACGCTAAAGCCTATGATAGGGCCCGTCCAATTACACGTTTTTCGACAGTGGACAATTGTTGTCGAAGGATGACAGGTAAGAATAGCATTCGAGGTACAAAACATCGAGGTGTCTTTACGGCTTCGGCTCTTAAAACTCCCGACCCAAGCTTTCCAACCGCCAAGGCATTTCCTCTCTGCCAAAAATCAACATCACTTCACCAATTTCAACTCCTACCTTATCAGCAGTCTTTCTACAACAAAAGAACATTAAACCACAAGTCTAGCGCTGCCCCACGGGCCCCACGGGCAAAAGTAACGACGCCTGTGTGATTCGAACACACGCTCCCGAAGGAAATGCCTTAGCAGGGCATCGCGTTAACCACTCCGCCAAAGCGCCTTGTTGTTTATCCCGAAATTGGTTAGATTTCGAAACTGGATGGGGAAAGAGCGCGAACTCCGGTATATGAAGCTGCAAGAAAGACACCCTCATGACCGCAATCAAGGTGTGAAGTCGGTCTTGTCTGCTGCAAACTTGAGAAATTCGTGATACACAATCGAGATCAACTCATACTATTGATCAGAACACAAGTCTCATGATGAGAAGAGGCATGGGCGCATTGCGGTATTGTGTGGGGAGTAGAAGAGAGAAAGGTGTGAAAGGAAAAACTTTTGTTCAAGTTGAAATTTCTTTCTACCCATCACAACGGCGGAGATTAACTTTCAGGCCACCAAACCTCTCCTCTGATGCTTTGCGATCATTCGTAGCATTGGTGGGACCGCGATATCTGGAGTAGTTGTAAAGCACTTGTTTACACTTCCAATAAGTTTCTTGAAGAACACCATGAATATGCAGCAGCGTCAGACACTCTACTCACGTCGCATCAACATTCAAGACCTCGAGTATCTTTTCGAGCCTGCAAACGTTTTTCTCGTCCTACATAGGCATTGAGTAACTACAGCTCCAAGTCAAGGCAAGTTTTGGCAGTTCCGCTTCGACATAGCCCGGCGGTAGATATTTCGAATGGTTAGATTACTCGTACCGAGAGTACTCCATCACTGACTCAATTGCTTGAGTCATCATATCTGAGTAGCAGTCGATTACTTACAGATTCGTGTTTCCACCAAGTGCTCTCAGCTCATCATCGACATACAACGTCCGCAATAGCCGATCCCGAGCAAAAGCGGGGTGAGTCACTTCAAGCTATCTGCCAACTTGCATGAATAATCACATTCATACCAGAATCTGCGAAACATCGTCTCGTCATACATTGAGCATAGCAACGAACCCAACATATCTCACTCAGGATGGTCAAATTCTATCCATCGCTCTCCACAGAGCTCAGCGACTGGTGCATGTCGCAACCTCTCTTCTACATCGCCTCCGCACCTCGCTATGGCTCTCACATCAACATATCGCCAAAAGGCCTTCCTTCAACAACCTTCTCTATTCTTGGTCCTAATACAGCTGCTTACATCGATGCCACTGGATCTGGAGCCGAGACCATTGCCCACCTCTACGAAAATGGAAGATGCACGATTATGTTTTGTTCATTTGACAAAAGTCCGAGGATCTTGAGACTGTTTTGCAAGGGTAGAGTTGTGGAGTTCTGGGATGAAGAGTTTGGCAATTTGACGAGGCAGATGGGGATGGAAGTGCCAGTTGGTGCGAGAGCGGTGATTGTGTTGGATATATTCAAGGTAAGAAAAATCATCATCAGATCGGGTCTCTGGTAGTTTTGAGAACCACCATACTCAGCAATCATAGGTCCAAACATCTTGCGGCTATGGCGTACCTCTCCTCTCCGAGACCGACCAACAAAAAGGCCTACTCGACCGCGAAACACTAGGACACTGGGCCGGCAAAACCGTTTCTGACAACAAGATGGTTGACTACCGAGCAAAGAACAACGCATACAGTCTAGATGATCTCCCTGGCTTGAAAGCCGGAAGGAGAACAAGAGGCGAGTGGATTTGGACAGGCGACGCACGAGCTTACTTGACAAGACTGTGGAATCAGATGGACGCCATGGTGATTGGATTTGTGTTTGCATTCTTGTTCATTGATGTCTTGTTCTTGTTCAATATTCGGATTAATGGAGTATTTGCGGATTGGAGGTGATGATGGTGTCAGTCAGTGAGGCATCAGAATTGCTACTGTGAGTCCGCAATCAGCTTCGAGGATATCACTCATTGATTAGTCGTTTTCGAAAACATCACATTCTAGTTGGACAGTATGGAAGAGTGAAAGAGAATTTGTCTCAGATGTGTTGCTGTCCAGCGTCCTTTCTTTGTTATAGGAGTTGTTTACTTGTGCAAGATTACAACACCTTTTTATCCTTCACTTTCCATTACAGTCTTGCCAGTGTGAGTACTTTACAGACCTTTCTCGCTCTCACTCCTGGTAGGCATCGAGTGTCTTTGCTTCGGTCTTGAATTCATTGAACTTAACTCAGCACAAGTAAATTCCCTCCCTTTCAACACTTACTTACAACACGGAGTTATCTTCGCTGGAAGCTTTATTCATCTAAGCTTCTCATAAATACCTAGTCACCTCCTTTCTCTTCGTCATCATCTTCTTCAACATGGAGGGCGCTACCAACAACCTCCCCAACATCTCCAAGGACACTACCGTGGACAAAAACATGGACAACAACATGGACAACAACATGGACAACAACATGGACAACAACATGGACAACAACATGGACACTACCATGGGCGACAGCGAAATAATCAGCAACATCATCGACGGTATGGGCAAGGCAGATTCTGAATCTCGCCCTCCACTTTACGGCATCGGCTTTACTGAGTGCGGCGCCGGAAAGTCGACCCTCATCAACGCTATGACAACCAACCTCGAGCCCAAATCTCCCAACGTCACCATCGACGGTATGGGCAAGGTTGTTTCCGATTCTCCTTCTCCTCTTTTCGGCGTCAGCCTTGCTGGCTGCGGTGTCGGAAAGTCTCAACTCATCAACACCATGACTACCAACCTCGAACCCAAGTCTCCCAACGTCACCGCTCCAACCTCGTCCCCTCCATCAGAGAAGAAGACCTCTCCCATCGCCAACAGCATCAGCAAAACTTCCAAACCAATCGGCATCATCAAGAAAACCAGATCACTCACTCACAGTACGTCTGCTTCTCTCATCCTGTACCATTTCACTCCCATCACTCTCCCCCTACCACATTTCCATGCTGTTCTCACGCGTTATCCTCCTTCTGACATTGGCTCAGCAAGCCCCATCACCAAACCGACCACTAAATCGGGCGCTCACTCCGCACCTACTGTCTCCAATACTTCGCCATTCATGCGTCTTCCCGCAAACTTGCGCAATAAGATATTACTCGAAGCTTTGGAGCCCGCTACCACCACCACTGCCATTGCCACCACCGCTGCTTCAACCTCCAACACTTTCGCCGATAACTCCACCAGCAGAAGCAGTAGCAATATTGCCACCATAACCTCCCTGCTATCTCTGAACAGACAAATCCGCACAGAGATCCAAACCCTGATGATTGCAAAAGCCAAGACCACCTCAAAGCACAAGGATACTGGTGAGGATCATATTGAGACAAAGGGTGAGAATGATGACAAGGCGAAGGCGGAAAAGGAGATGGAAGAAATGACCAATATGTTAAAGGGGAATTTGGATTTGCATGCGGAGATGGGAGGTGATAATACCGAGTTTGAGGGGTTGGTCGCTGAAGCTATGAAGGGGTAAATTTTGCATCGCCGGTCCGAGGACGAGAGTTGAGGAACATTGAGGTCGGACGGAGGACGGCCAAGAGAGGAAGGGAGCAAGAATGAAGAAGGAAAAGGAAAAGTCAAGAAGGGGAAGTGAGAATAGCAAAAAGACGAATTTTCCAACGAAACAGGGATGAATAGTGAGGCCGAGAGAGATTTCTCATCTTTCAATCAAAAGGAGATTTGCAAAAATTTACTCATCCCTAATCCACTTTCCTCGACCTCTGCTTTCCTTTCTATTCGCCCTCCTCATCAACAATCCAACGTAACAACAACAGCACTACTCCACTCGACATCCAATCTCACAACCCCTTTCCTATCGATCTTAACCCTCTCCCCACAAGTAACATTCCCCTGCCTAACAGGTTTCCCCTCCGCCAATTCATAATTATAACTATTTCCATCCCAAGTGATTCCCGTAACAGCATCACTCCCATTAGCGACCAATCTATGCACCGCACCACCTCTACAACAAGCAGGTAGTTGGAAAGTATGGCTTTCCACGGGACGAGGGAAGGAAGTGGTGTAATTGTTTGCGGTGGTGTTGTAGGTGTGTAGGTCGACGATGAGGAGACGAGTGAGTGTTTTGTCGATGTGGGCGGTGTAGAAAGAATTGTTCGCCGAAGAAGCAGGGAGGTGGGTTATTTTCAGCAGGGAGGAAGGGTGAGGTTTTGCCATCATAGCTGCGACGGCAAGGTTGCCGTAGTAAGGTGGTTTTGTGCCGATGGTGGTGAGGTTTGTTTGGATGGGTTGCCAGGATTGATAGCTATTGTTGGCATGTCAGTTTTGTCGCCTTTCTATATCCCAGAGATGTAAACAAAGCAGAAAGGTGATGTGTCTTACCGATAATTGGTTCCTTGATGCATATGCGAACGACTGATGTTCTGAGATGCAAGATAGACATTCCAATCAACACCCCACAACGCAGCGCCAAAACTGTTGGAAAGTCCGGGACGTCCCTGTCTCGCCAGCGAATTGTGTTCACCAAGGATAAACGGCACATCAGGATCCAAACCATTGCCCAGAGCCTTGATAGCCGCCCACTCCCTGAGTTGGTCTCCAGCTTTAGCAACAACATTGGTGTGATTCATCAAGGTCCCCTGCAAAGTAATCCCCGGACTGGTAGAAACACCCATATAATTATGCGAAGAGATCAAGCCGATATTGTCGTTTTGGTCCAATCCGTTCTTCCAAGCTAATACCGGATCCAAGGTGAAGAAGTCATTTGCGGGACCCACGCCTGCGAAACTAGGGGCCATGAATTTTGTGTTGGCGAGGGAAGGGCATGCTGCTTTGACGGCGGAGGATATTGCCGTGGTGCCATTGAGCCATTCTTCCACGTACGCGGCTTCGGTGTAGTTGTGCGGGCGGTAGCCGGAGGAGACGAAAGGGTCAGGTTCGTTGCCGTATTCCCAGTAAGCCAAGTCACTGCCGATTGCTTTGCAGGCATAGGCGGCAGAAGCGAAAGTAGCTGTTCTAGCGGCGGAGGAATTCGCGCCCAAGTTGAAGCCATGGCTGTATTTTGTTCCTTTGGGCATGGTCTTGTAGGACTCAAAGAAGGAAGGGCCGATTGTGATGATGGTCGGATAATCGCTGGAGATGTTTGGACGAACTATACCGAGAAGACCAGTCTTCTGGGATGCATCGAAGATGGCAATATCTCTGGGTTCTGCGTCAACATATATTTGAACGATCCAGTCACAATGGCATCTTACTGTGTGTTGCCACCCACACGAGCAATCGGCAAAGAGCCTTGTAGATTACCGATATTGTTCAAGAGGTTGTATGAGAACTTGTTCGGATACGAAAGGTTGCCTTGAATGGTCAGTGTGAGTTTTGCACTGTTCGCATAGACAGGTTAATCTTACCAGCAAAGTCGGGCCAAGAAGAAAGCTCAAAGGAGTATGACACAAACGAGTCCAAGGGAATGCCAGCATTGCTGGGTGCTGACTCCGAAAGGACAATTGACTTTGGCTTGGAGGAGACTGAAGCAGCCTCTGCTTCCAGCAAAGCAGCAAGGCACCACACAAAGAGGGAGCGAGTGTTGAGGAACATCTTGATTGGTTGATTATGTATACCACTGCGACCATCCAACGATAATATATACAACAAACCGGCAACGGAAAAGAAGCCGAGAGCTTGTATGGCAATTGACAGTGCATGAGTCTGACCGTATGCATCGCGTATCGTCCTCGGATCTGCGCTGGGTATGTGGAGGGTGGCTGGGGTAGATGCGGAGAAGGTGGGGTAATTGGCGGAGTTCTATTTATCCGCAGTCAGTTCTTCGTCGGCCTCAAAAGTAACATGTCGGGACCACTTATCAAAAAAGAATTGAGCCACCCAGTCTTCCGAAGAAAAGCAGGGTGGCATAGCGCACAATGCGCTCCAGACAGCCCCTCCTCCACTTTCCGTCATCAACATCACAAACATATCAGTCATCAACCCTTCAACTCCCGAGATGAGTACATGGAAGTCCCGAAAGCGTCGATCTTCATCATAATCATGCCTTGTCCTCGTGCACACGGCGGCTTTTGAACCTGCGTCATGAAGGAATGATTACAGAGTCGATCCGTACAGCAGACAAGCCTGAGCTTTGATCCTCACTCGAGAGAGGTCCCGCACGTACGAACCAGCATTTGCAACTCTTCCACCACTCAGCGTGACTCTAGACCGTGGGTGAATGCGTTGGACGTAAGGCACGGCTCGAAGAACGACCGAGTTCCTCCTGCAGACGTGCTCTTCTCAAGGATCAGATGGCTGACGACCAAAACGAAGCAAATGTAATGGGGCAAAGCTTGAGAAGAACCATCGCTGTTCCAAGAAACTGTCCGGCCTTATCCATCGTCCTGATTCGATCTGGCATTGGCTGGATCATACACCTCATCACTTCACCAGACTTTGCAAGAACCTCTCGTGCCGATATCCGATACTCCCTCGGTGTGTTGTAGCGTTCTTCTCAGAGACAAGTCTTTGGTTTACTCCCCTAGCCGGTAAGCCAGCGATAGGGAGCATTGATGCGTAGAAACGCGAAGTGGACAAAGTACATCCGTAAAAACCACTTCCTTCTTCCTGGTAAGACCAAGCATACACTTGGGGAAGGTTTGATGCCAAACAGGACTTGGTGAGGAACCAGATACTGCAGGCGAGTGTGTCGGCGCTCATATGTTGACTCGGCGGTTGAAGCAGAGACTAATGATTGACGCGGCTGGTCAGGACAATGACGCGAAGGCTAACTCTGCCGGTAGCGGGTGCTATTGGCAAAGGCTTCCTGGCTGTGATAAAGAGTTACGATGGGTGAAAGACGGTCGTGAGAGTATCACAGTAGAGCGCGTACGGGAGTCTTGGTCTGTTGATCGGCAGGGTTGTAGACGACGGAGACACTGATCATGAATGCGTAACAGATTCCACCTTGTTGCAGAAGAGGAGTGGACATTGGGAGTACACCAACTGCAGGTCAGAGGTGGCTGAGAGTAGACAAAACATTGTGGAAGCCGGAGACTTTAGCATGCCATAAAGAAGACTGTGCCGCTCCTGTACCTCTGTGTGTGGCTTGACGACCTTGCTACGCAGATGAGTGCGATTCCGACAAGTGTAGTACAAGCATGTATTGAGGCACAGGAATTGGCGTGGTCTGTTTGGGAAGCATAACCAAGCTCTTTCCACAACGTCTAGAAGACTCACAGCCACCAGAGTTGCAGGCACCGAAGCGCGTATGGTGTTTCCCAAGGCCAGTCCAAGTCCAGGTGGAAATCGGTTGTTGCTGAGCAAGCGAATCCAAAGCCCTCTGCACGAGCGAACAAACACATGAAAGATCCCAAAGACGGTCCTCATTCGAGGTGTCCGACAAGCTTTCCCGACTCGTCCAAGCGCAATGCAGAACGGCAGACCAGGAATGCTGTCCATGGATGACCAGAGTATGTTGTCCAGCCAGCAAAATCGACGCGCGCCCTCTCCGAGAGTCTTACCAATACGGCGCATGATGATGTGGATTAAAGCTCTTCAAAAGAAAAGCACCGGACGTCGATGACTCTTTGATTCCCATTGTCGCAGTTCCTCGTGAGAAGAGAAGGCGACGCCGAAGAACTAGTCGAGAAACCGGCAACTTCCTGCAAAGGACGGCGATACTGAAACCGATGTATGGCTTAGGGTTAAGTTCCGAGGGAGATGCCCATTCGAAGTGCTTGAGTCCAACTCGGTCAGGGAAACCTTGAGACCGTGCTATGAGGCTCGGGATTATGACTTTGCTGGAAACGAGTAACAACGAACAGCTCTGGAGAGATATCGACCATGACAGTTGATAGATGCCCCCCGTGACTATGGAGAGAGTGAGACGCGTGGTGTGTGATGAGAGGGAGTAGCGGATGATGAGTTGAGAGTTTCCTGGAAGCCCGGGTCTACGATATCAGCAGTGGTATGACCAGTGTATTCAAGACCGAGGACAATAGATTTGGCGCAGCAGGATTCGAGAGACAGCTTGTGTGAGGAAAGAACAAAGGTGCGCGTGAAAGCAGCTCAAAACATCACCGTGGCTGGGCAGACGCGCCGGGAACGCCAAGACCTGACATCTCGCGTAACTCGAAATCACATGCCAAAACCATCGGCGACGACAATGATTCAAGAATTAATCATGAACAAAAGAGCTCACAATTTACGGATCCATGACCATCACACGCCTTCGCATAGTGGTAGAATGGTGGTTCCAGAGATTTTCTTCATTCAGATATGGTACATTACATACAGAAAAATTGGTCTGCAAAAACCACCTCGAAAAGGAAGAAGGGGTATTGTCGTCAGAAAAGGAGATGCAGAAGGATAAACAGCAGATGAACAAAAAAAGGAACAAGGAGATTATATGCACATCATTTACACCTGTGGCGCTGTGGGACTGTTTGACCCAGCTTCAGTGCCATTGCCCTCCGGAGTGGCGAAAGTCTCTGCAGAGTGTAGGATCTTTCTTCTACCGTTGGACTTGTAGTGCAGCAAAACGTCACCGCCACCTCGCCAGATGTGTGTGCGGATGGTCGCCAGTGTCATCTTTGGTGGTATGAGCTGGTTGTTGCAGTAGAGCTCGAGGTAGTCTTCTGCCGGCATGGCTGTAGCGGGGTCTTGAGCGGGCTCAATACGTTCGGCAACGTAGCCTAAGATCTTGCGGGCGCGCAGCATGCGGTTAGCATTGAGCCGGTTGTTGCTGAAAGGAAGGTTAGCATGTTTTGTGAGACGGAAATCAAATACACATACCCATCTGCAGCGATACTTGGCAGTACGTTCTGGTATGGCTCAAGCACGAAGCTGATCTTGACAAGATCCTTGAGCGGAATTTGGTTTCGCAACAGAGCATCACCAAGCCACATGGGGGCAACCTTCTCGATCAGGTCTGCCAGTTCACCCGTACTACCGACCTTGCCCTCGAAAAGATCTGCCACACCACCAGCCTCTGGGCGCTCTTCCTGGATCAAAATGGTTGTGTTCGGCGGTGGCTTCAACACTGGCGTCTCAGAAGGCAGTGACGGTACGATAGAGGTTGGCAACTCGACTTCTTTCGCTTGACCTAGTGCACCGCCAGCAGCATCCACTGCCGCGGCTCTTTGGACCTGCGCTTGTAGATGATCTTCGTAGGCGAAACGAATCTTCTGAATACAGCCAAGGAAGTTCTCATCAACAACACGCGAGTTGCTGTTGTCAGAGGAGCTCTGTGTGTCGGCCTCAGCCTCCTCTTTGGTTTCCTCTACGATGGCGGGCTTGTCTTTGTCATTTGCTGGAGCCTTGCCCAGCTTCTTCATATTGAATGACATGTTCATACGCAGACGCTTGCCAAACTTGGAAGGGGTATCGTTGCTATCTGCCGTCGATGCGTCCTCTGCAGCTGGCGTGGTCACAGCTTCTGTGGGAGTCTGAGGCACGAGCTTGGTTTCGCTGTTGACGTTTGTAGAGTTGGCCGTCGTTGAGTTGGAAAAGTAGTCACCGCTGATGGAAGATCTGTCTTGTGTTCTTTCATCCTCTTCAGAAGTAAGACTATCCTTTGTCAGGTTTGGAGACCCAACATATGAGGAAGCTGTTTCGGCGATGGATAAGCCAGGTGTAGCAAACCCGATGGTGTTGGTGTTCGTAGGTCGCAGTGTGTTTGTAGAAAGAGGAGCTGAGGGGTCAACCTTCCATCCGTCTGTCATAGCAGGAGGCATCTGTATACTGGTAGGGGCATTCTCTCGCTCCATCTTTTGCTTTTGAGCCTGCTCCAGTAGGTGCCTTCGGTACTGTGAGTCTCTTGAGATCTCTTCGCTGATGAGATTTGCGAACAAGTAACGAAGGATCCACTTGCCAAGATTGATGCGCTGATCCTCCTTGAAGTCAATCGTCTGTTCAATGTCGAGCTCATCGGCGTACATCTCTGCATCAAAGGCAGTGTGCTCCTCCAGAGTGATGGCCAGAGTTCCGGTCCGAGTGTCGACAGAGCACCAGTTAGGCACCGTCTCGACAGTTGTGACCTCGGGTTGGACATCCTCAAGATGTTTCTTGCCAAAAGACTTGATGGGGACACACTTGAGCAGATCCCACAGCAAGACTTCGCCAGCAGTATCCTGGGTCAAGACACGCTTGCGATCGTTGAGCATGATGTGCTTGACCAAGCCGTTCTGACCTTCAATAGCAAAGTCGGGTGTGTGTCTCAGGGGCTGCGTGTGTTCAACTTCGACCTCCTCGGCGTCTGGGCCGACCTCTCTTGCAACGGGTCTGGGGAAGAAGGCGGCGTTGCTGAGTCTGAGGACATGTTTCAAAGGGATAGGCTTTTTCGCGCTTGACGGAGGAGATGTTGGAGACGTGGGCAGAGGAGGCGAAGCGAGACGGTCGGAGGACGAGTTGACGGGTGGACTTGGAATCCTGGAGCGAGCGGTAGCTAGACTGAAGCGTTTCTGCTTGAAGCTGTCGAGCATGTCAATCTCGGCATCGTCAATGTTGACGTCGGCCCATCTGTTGATGGTAGGACGAGGGGTCGCTGTCCAGATGTAGTCGCCAGCAACGGCCAGCTTGTGGACGGCTGTGCCCTCCTGGCAAATGGCCACGCTCATGCCTTCTTCCAGCTCTTCACCACAGCCTCTGGTGTCTGTCTTGGCCACCATTCCGCTCTTGTCTGACGAATAGAAGACGGAAAGATCAGGGTGGTCGGACCACAGAGACCACACACTCGCGTCGTGCATGGTCAATGTGTTCATGCAGCGACCGGCAGTGACACTCCACACCTTGACCGTCTGATCACTGCACGCCGACATGACAGTGCAGCCATCTTGACTGATCAGAATGTCGCGTACGATGTCCGTGTGACCAACAAACTTGGTGATGCGCTTGCCCGACCGCGGGTCCCAGATGCGCACATTGCTGTCTGGACCTCCGCTCGCAAGGATAGAGTGTGTGGCCTGAAGAGCATACACGCTCGCCTTCTCTTGACTCAAGCCCGTCAAGCTCTCATCCTCGCTGACGTCGATGCTCAGTGTCTGTCCGGCACCATTGAGATCCCAGAGTCGGATACGACGGTCGAGACCTCCACTAGCGACCCATGAGGCGTCGGGAGAAGGGGCAGCTAACACCTTGACGTAGTCGCTGTGTAGGCCGATGGTCTGAGGTGGCATTGAGTCTTGCGCAGCGGGTCGCCATACTTTGACACTGATGTCTGAAGATGCCGACACCAGGGCTTGATTGGACTGGGCGAGGATGAGGTCGTTGATCCAGTGGGTATGCGCTTGCACCTGGTTGTGCAGGGTCGAGGCGGGCGACGGCGGGGGTTTCGCGTCGATGGCCGTGATCTGGTCCGACTTGTGGTTGACCTCGAAGTTGAGGTCCCATGCGCAGATGACTCCATCGCGTCCTCCTGAGTAGCTGCAGAGTATGCGTATCAGTGGGCTGCCTTGTCACGCCTGTCTCGATGAGGCACCTACAGGATCGAGTTGTCGCTGTCTACGGCGAGACCGTTGACGCCGAGACGATGCCCTCCGGCCGAGTTTGTAAGAGGGAGCACATAGCTGATCCTCTGGCGCGCTTTACGAGCCATGTCCACTGCTCTGGCATGTAGGTGCAATCGCTGCTTGATATGACCGTCGAATGCCCCGGTCCCGAGCGGCTCATGCCTACCAAGACCTGTCGGGCCCCTGCTTCCCCACGCCGAGGTCCAGATTGCGGGAGACCTGTCCAACCCCCGACGCTAGCCGCTTTGATCGCGCGGGCGAAACATGACACAAACAATTCTCAGCTCACTGATCAGAAGCTGAGGAGCGGAACACTTTGCTGCAAAATCAGGTAGAATAGGTATGCATGCTTTAATCCACATTACGAGTATTGTATCGTCCTTTTTCCACGCCAGAAAACGCCGTGCTCTTCGCTGTCGCAATAACCATAGAAACGCTGTGACCGTACCCTCATAATCTCAAATCTCCAGTCAAAACACTGTCTTCTCCTATCGGCGCTTCGCGTAAGGTGTCAGAGCTTCCTGTCCGGTCGCTTCGCCAGAAGGAACTGCCTGAAGGTAGTCACCTACAGACAAGTCTCTCATCGACTCTGTTGGTGGCTCGATTGCCTGCACTCTACGTTCGAGCTGCACCTTGTGGTAGCGCGACGATCCGACCACTCTACCGTTGGGCGCGCGAATGCGGAGCCCATCGTCTGCGGGGTTTGCAGAGCCAAAGTAGAAAGGCTCCGTCTGTCCAGCGAGGTACATCATGTCGTCAAGCGTAGGCGGGTGCACCCAGGTCGTCTCTGTTGTCGGAATGCCGTTACGCACGTATTCCTTGTAGTCGCCTTCGGTTCCAGGGAACTCTCTGGCTGTGAATCGCAGCGGCTCTCTTCCAAAGTTCGAGTCCTTTGGAAGCTTGGACATCATCTCAGCAATGAACCACTGCTGGTTGTAGCCAGTTCTGCCAGGAATCTCATCCGCCGAGATTTCCATCAGCTCGTCGCCATGTCCAGTGGGCACAAAGTGTCTTGCGGGAAGAACCTCGATATCGATGATGGGCAGGATACGGTGAAAGACGTCGTGGTTGTGAATTTCGCGCGTAATCACCTCTTCACGAATGTGGTGGATCTCCGGCTGCACGACCTCGTGAACGACAGCTGTATCGCGTCAGTAAGTGCTGTCATATTGCGTTCTAGAGTTGTCTTACCTGGTGCCCAAGTTTCGGTCACATCCGTGTCAACAGTGTCCTTGAGATTGACAACGCCCTCGAGTACAGGAGCGGCGGGTGCGTCCTTGACAAGGTAGTTGTGATCTCTGGGAAGGAACTGGCCAAAGGCTGGATCCTCGCTCAGAGCAGGTTGGTGAGGTGGAGCTGGAAGAGGCTTGTCCATGCTAAGTCTCGACCTCTGCTTTGCGCTCGACACGCTCTGCCTCCTGCCATCGACATTGAGGTCTCTCGAACCACGCACATTGTCAGAACCAACCGGCTTGCGCGAAACTCCTGATTGAGTGCGTTCGGGAACAGACGAGTATGATGATGTCGAAGACTGTCGCGACTTGTCGACAGATGATTTTGTGACGTTTAGTGGCGCAGGTGCGTGAGTGGGGCTGAGTTTCTCAGCATTCATAATGTTCCAGTCGGCGACGTCTTCTGAATACCTATCAGATTTGGTTGAAAGTGGTTGAGCAGCAGCGTTGTTGTGATTGAAATTGATCACGTTAGAACTTCTGCGAGCACTCTCCTTGGCTGCCCTGGTTTGTGCGTCCTGAGAGACTGCAGGGCGAGCGGTTGCTCCATCCTTGTAAGTGCTGGGAACCTCTGGAACGCTGGGGGCAACTCCAGCATTAATTTGACGCTGATCAAGACTCTTGCGCTTGCTGCCGTCGAGACTCTTTCGGGGAGAGTCATCTGCAGCGGGGGCTGATTTCCGATCAAACGACCTTCTCAGCTTAGAGCGGGATCGTGCAGAAGATGGCTGTGAAGGCTGATCTGTCATCAAGTCAGCCGTCTTTGTCTCAATTCCATCGCAATTCTCAACCGAAGCCGTACCGGAGCCAGAAACTGGTCTTTGGCCTTGTCGAGGTGATGCTTGAGGTGATGCTTCTTGGGGAGCAACCTCATAGCGAGATTGACGGGGACTGCTTGGAGGCGTTGTCTCATCGTCGTGCCTGTGGATCAAGCTCTTGAGCTTCTCGCGGAACGGCATCTTTTCGCAGGTGGTTATCTCAATGCGCGCGGGGAAGGAACTGGCCACTGAGAGGGTCAAGGGAGTATGGGATCAATATGCTGCTCAGGTGCCGTGCTGTAGGAGCTCTCGGATGCGATGTCACTGCTGTTTGGATTGTGTTTCTCTTCAACGTCATCTTATGACTTTTTTTCATAATAGGGAACTCACGCCACGCGCTAGGTCTGCCGCCGGTGCTTGTGGCGTCGGCTACAATTGTTGACTCTAGACTCTTGCTACACCAAGCCAGCATGCAGCCCATGTAACTACGTTTCGATGACACGAGCAACGTTGTTTGGTGCTCTCCGGCGAGGCCCATCGAACCAGCTGCACAGGATAATAATCTACCTGCATTATGTGTGTTCTACAAACGCCTTTTCCCCTTGACCTGCCATCAACATGCCTCGTACAACCGTAACCCGGGGAGACGCGTCCTGTAACGTTTAGATTCGATCCTTGTTCACGCAGGAAAGCTGTTGAACTCTGTCAGAGCTTCAAATTTTGGGAGCTTCTCGATGATGATGTGTGACGTCGAAAATTGCGGGGCACCAGCGATTGGCTGACGACGAAACAAGAGCTCTGTGCTTTTGTCCCTCTTCTGCTTTATGATCGCTGATTTGCGCGCTGGTGCATTTTCCGGCGGTTCTTAATCCACGGGCCGCCAAAGCTTCGATGCAGATACGCAATCTCGATCCCTGCTTTGCGTCTGGATCAGTGGGATTGCGTCGAGAAGCGACCAATAGGCGCCGCCTTCTAGCGAGCGTGTGCTGAATCCGTCGACGCGAGCTTTGTGTGCTTGCCAAAGCGAGCGGCTGCAATCAAGGAAGTGGACAGAACGAGAACGGGCGTGTTCTAGACAGAAGACGTCGCAATTAACTATTGGCTTCCATGGACGATCATTGCATGATTTGGCGCGTCGATCCAGACCCAAGCCGCTGGAGCTGTTTGTTTGCGAGGGGTCCTGGGTGGAAACGCACACGTATGAATTTTGTGTTTTACACATGATCTTCTGTGTTTTCCCTGAGCATCCGAGGGGACCGAGAAACTGTGAGGCTCTTTCTTCGAACCCTTGGGAAACAGCAAGGCTAGTGCAGGCAGGTTGGAAGTACCAGAGGTACCTAGCCACACGGTAGTCCAACGTCGCTGCTTTCAGCGTCATGGTATGCAGCCCTACTCGGTGCATGTCCATCGACTTCCCTACGCATCCGCGGGATATAGCGGGGTCGCGCTTGGAGCAGCACCGCCACGAGGTAAACCAAATCGACTCTGGCGGTTCGGTTGCCCCGGGGCGTCCGCTCGTGCTGTAACTTTTGGCGAATGCCCGGTGCAAGAACGGGTCCAAGAGTCAAGACACGACAGCTATGAGATCACCAACGGCTCTCATGATGGGTTGCACTCCGCTATGTGGCTTCTCACCCAAACTCTACGCAAGCATGATCACATGCTGTGGCTCAAGTCCAGATTAGCCACCGTTGTGGGCAGGAGCAGGGCAGGCTAATCGTCACCTCTGCCACTGCCTTGCAAAACGAGACGGATGATGTCAATCGAGCTGGACTGCAGCCGAAAGCTCCTGCCACAGCTCCTTACAAAAAGAGACTCTGTCGACGTCCTTCCCCTCTTCTCTCTTCCCATCATCACATCTTCCAACCAAACAACTCCATCACCTCCACACTACTTTCCCATAACCCTTTTCCATCAAAACTCATAACACATCATCACAATGGACTCCGCCAAGGCTGCCGTTAAGGACTTCATGTAAGCTATCACTGCCAGCTCCAAACCATCATCATCAATACTGACTATCATCCTCAGGGCCCGCTCCGGCCACCACGACACCACCGTCCACGAGAAGGTCGCCCCTGCTGTCACCCACGAGAGCCATCAGCTCCAGCAGCACGAGCAGATCCAGACCGCCATCGACAAGGAGGTTCACCAGGACCACTACCACACCTCCATCCAGCCCGTCAAGGACCGCGAGGTTCTCCCCGAGCAGCACCACCACAACCTTGCCGCCGTCGAGCACCGCTCGTTCGAGCACGGCAACGACGCCCAGGTCAAGGAGCGTCTCGCTGCCGAGGCTGCCCAGTTTAGAGACCAGCGCACCGAGGTAGAGGCCGTGCACTCTAAGTCGATTGCACCCACCATCGGCGGTGAGCACATCCACCACCACGTCCACGAGACCATCCAGCCCGTTATCAACAAGGAGACCATCGAGCCTCACGTTGTCCACACCACCGTCCCCATTCACGAGGTTCACCACAACGCCGCCCAGCACCACACTGCCTCTGCTCTTCCCGCCGTCTCCATGGCCGACTTTAAGAAGCAGGGTGGTGTCCTGACCGGCCGCGAGGAGCGTTACGATGGCTTCGAGGGTGAGCCCCGCACTGTTGGTGGCTCCCATACCTCCACCACCGGTATCTCCACCGGCACCGGCCTCACTGGCTCGCACTCCACCCACTCCCACGGCTCCCACGGCCACGGTCTTACCGGCTCTAACACCACCGGCACTGGCTTGACCGGCTCTAACACCACTGGTCGCGAGACCCTCGGTGAGCGCGTCCGCGAGGGCGAGCGTGACCTCAAGACTGGTCACTCTCACTCCACCACCGGTACCACTGGTGCTGGTTACGGTTCTTCCACCACTGGCCACAACTCTGAGATTGACTCCAAGACTGGCAAGCCCTCGCTCATGGACAAGCTCAACCCCATGAAGGACTCTGACCACGACGGCAAGAAGGGCATGATGGACTAAGCGTCTCGCCCATTGTACCTCATTGATACCACTGCTTCTTTGACTTTGAGATGATCGTCTTTTACGACCTCTTTCACGATTATGATGTTGTTTCCAGCGCTGGGAGTTCACAGCAGTCCTGTAATATACATAGCTTCCGAAAATAATCCTAGTTTCCTATTTTCATCAATTCTTCGTTCTGCCCCCATGATTCTTACTTCTACTTGCTCTCAATGTGATTTTGACCATGCTTGGACTTTGTGTACAATTCGTTATCGTCGCACCACTCCATTGCTCGGTGGTTAAACATGCGCACCTTCGAGTTTGTTTGTCACACATCTTGCTCTCGTGCTTCTGTTGGTGCTTTGCTTGATATGTCGACTTGGGACGAGTCGGATGACTTCCAAGTCGAAAGTCTCCAAATTTCCTGGTGTTCAAACCCGGTTGCAGTTTTCGAATAACCATGGCATGTCGTTCGTACAGCGCATTGTCCCTTTGGCGGCCTGGCGACGTCCGGTTGAGCCTCAATGAGGCTCAAAGATGGTGTGTGGCTGGTGTAACTTCTGCCTCGACAACTCGGTATATTCGAACATTGCGTCGAGTGTGCACATCTTTGTTTATTGATGTTTTCCTTGTGATATTTTGATACCTCCAAGTAGTTCTAATCTGTTCTATATCGGTACCACGTTTGTGATCAACGGACTTGGGTTCACATGTCATGGAAGTCAGTTGGAAATCTTGAGCACCGTGATTGAGAACGCAAGATTCGGTGTAACAACCTCAGGACTGGATGGAATTACTCCTTATGATCACAGAACATGTAAAATACTACAGTGATCGCCCACGTCAATCTACCTAGGAAAAAAATCATTTGTTGGAGAAAATATTTCGTCGACAGTATGTTCGAGGCTTGCTGCGGGGACCACCCTGCCTGATCCAACCCTGTCGTTGCCAACGGCGGTGCTCATGGATGGGAACAAGACGAAAATTTTGGATGTCAACCGAAGCCTTCGACCCCAGCCATCCGAAGCCTGCCGTTTCGCAAGCCACCCGACCCTCGTGGACTTTGCGACATCACAATATTTTCTCGCCTTGTTTTGACCCTGTCGTCCACCATGAAGATGTCTCGGAACTCTTAATCCCGAACGAGTCTACAATATTCACACGACGTCGTAAGACCCACTGAGGGTTCAAAAGATATTGCTTCTCCACTTCAAGGGCGTGTCGCAAATCTTGCATCTTCGAAAGCGATCCACCGTCACCAAGATGGTTGCTACGCAAATGTTTGCTCAACTCCTAAGAACAAACATCCACTCATAGGAAACGGTTGCCTTGGCTTTGAGTTCGCGGAAAAGGAGATGAATAACACGAACATCCCTCTCTCGAGACTGCCGTGCGAACGGTTTTCTGCCTCCTCGACGCCTATCGTAATCAACAATCTCGCTCTGCCACGAACCTGCATGCCCGACATCATGATTCAAGAACTGATATCCAAGGCCGATTACCCGCCACTGAGAACAACGTCGCTGATGATATTTCGCCTCTTTTTGACCATATGCATGCTGTTGTCTCGGTGGTTGATGCCAACGGTGCGGGCTGGCACTGCGTGGTATCGCTGGGTCTTGGCAATATTATAAGATGGTCCCGTTGGCTTACAACGGCTTTTTTGTATAACCGTCGAGGTCATCCAGGTCCCTTAATCTTGTTATACAAGGATTATTCGGCTTCAACTTGGCCAGGTAAGTGAGCGCATAGCCGAAAATCATGGCGAAAAGAGGTGAGAACTGGGCACAAACCTCGAGTGAGCTTTCGGTCAAGTACACATGTCTTCCAGTCCAATCTCACACCTTCAGGCGTTCAATATAAAGCAAGAAAAAGTAGATGGCGAGGGTTACGACTCCAGAGCCACCTGCGCCGAACGGCTACAACGTCCATAACGACCCAAGCCTCTCCCGGTTGCTTGGCTTTATTGAGAGAGATTGCTATATAACAAAGGCCATCAACTCCTCTGTACACCCTTCTACTTCTCATCCACATCCAAAACATCTAGCTCCTATACACCAAACACAAAGAAACTCAACCTTCAGGAAGGAAAACAATACCCCAATTGATCAGGATCAAAGGGAAACGACAACACAATCAAGATGAAGTTCTCAGCACTCACCTTCATCACCTTGGCCGCCTCTTCGGTCTACGGTTCGGTCATTGACCCTGCCGCTCACGAGGATACTTTCGTCAACCTCGAGACTCGTGCTACTTGCTGGAAGTCGGATATGCAAGCTGTCAAGGACCGCATCAACCACTACAACGTATTCTGCCAGATGTACAACGCCCAGTATGTTCTATCCGCCCCTACTGCAGCCCTAGCACAGAAACTAACAAGTCATCCAGACCTCGCGACTCATCTCCTCTGCCTACTTTGACTGCCGCCAAGTTGACTGGAGCATGCTCATGTCTCCTGGCCCAATGGAACAAGCAAGCCAACCCCACCTCGGTCCCCTCAACAGCAGCAAACACCTGCGCCGCCTCAGACATCAACCTGATCAAGAATGAAGCACCCAAGAACTTCCAATCCTACTGCACATGGTGGGGCTTGATGTAAGCTTTGATCCCCCTCATCACCTCTCTCCCCTCAATCAAATACTAATCCAATCTCCCAGTCCTCGCACACGCTCTGCCATCCCTGGAGTCAGCGCATCCCAAATCACAAAATCTTGCAAGTGTCTGCTCGCTTCCACCGGCAACACGGCATCCACCGCCGTCAAAGCCACCAGCACAAAGACCACTTCCACCGCCAAAGCCACTTCCACAGCCGCCGCTTGCAAGAAGCGCAGAAAGGTCCGCAGAACCGTCACCGTCGAGGTCCCCGCCGAGGCCACCCCTTCTGTTTAAGAAGATGATCTTTCTTCTTCCTTTCCTCTTTTTTTCCCCTTCTATCCCGCTCGTTTATTCCATGATACTTCGACAACTGAGCGGTATAGAAAGGAAGCAATTTTCTTTGTGGAGATAAAAAAAACTTAACCCGGGGATAGATGCCTTTGGATGTTTGGATGGAACCTTTTTTATTTTCTTTTACTTCTTCTTCTCTATTGTGGAGGGAAAAACTTCTTCTATTTGGCGGGTTTAATCATAAGTGGTCACGCTGCTTGCAGTTGACAAAGGAAACATCGGGAAAGAAATCTTGAGGATATTCAACTGGATTTGATATCTTGCAAGCAAACAGAGGAGGGGCTCTTATATAATTTGTATTTTTAGATAGAAAAATCTCTGGTCTCTTTTTGAGCAAATACCAATAAGAATATTTATACCGCCCGAAACACCTCTTTACACTTTCTCTCCTTGTCCCATCCATTCACCACTTCCCTCCTTCCCTCCCCTTTTTGATCTTTTGAATGTTTATCAAGAAATCGATTTTTTTTTTCAGCAAGAGGAGATTGAAAGATCACATCCACCACGCGTCCTTGAATTGTACAAGTGGCGAGTACAACAAGCGCGTTCCTGTCGATCTGATCAAACGTCTAAACACGAGGACTACCGTATATGGAAGATCTTCACCAACGCTCTTGACCTAGGTCGTGCTTGGATTCATAATTGCTTGGTTAACCTTTAAGTCTTTAGTCTAGAAAGATCTAGATTGTGAGTGTGCGGGTGAAGAGTGTCTAGATTTGGTGGGAAGGGTTTGGAGTCTAAGGTTGTAGGAGGTAGGTTGTTGGCTACGGTTCTGTTTGATGCTTTTTGATGCATAGCTATAAGGTTTGGAATGGTCGTGATTGCAGCAGTATGCGAGTGCTTTTTTTCTTTCTTTAGAGCGGAGGCAGCCTTCACTAAGAGGGTGATGGATATGGTATTTCTTTAGACTCTCATGCTGGATAGGAGAACGAGTATTGTGTGTTTTGACAGCTCGAAAATAACAGTGTCTGGCATTAGGAGAGAGCGAAAGTAGTGACAAATGTAGTGAATAGAAAGAGTGAATTGATTGTTTAATCGAATGTCAGATGGGTCGAGCATCTATTAACGTAGGTACTCTGGATTCACCCACGGCTCGTCAATACCCCAAAAGTCTTGTGGCTGAACCATCTTTCCCGCGCTTTCGAGTAGCAGACGTATATCTTGGAACCTGCATCCACCTCTCGCCATCAGTCCCAGCTTGGCATCAATGAATGGTTTCCGGAGCATCTGTATGGACTTGGGAGTAGGCCCTGGTTTTTGCAAAGGCCCAGGCTTTTGCGTGTACCCAGTCGGTGGCCAGCGACGAAAACGATGCCCAATCATTCCTTCCTCCACCCCTGAAACACGTACTGCTCCCGTCTGGAAGTCGATTTCGGCTGTGATTCGGCAACAATGGCTTTTGTTCATCACTGACAGCAGGACCCTTGTAAACTTGAATTCGAAAGGGACCGTCTTGTTGAACTCCGACCAGGCTTGATGTGCCATGGCGCCCGACTGATCCATGTCATGGTCCCTGAGCAGGGAGTAAGGCCGCAGAGTCCAATCTTGCAGAACGCCAGCCATGATCCGGACTTTGGCGCGGGACAACAGTGCGTGGATATCAGCTCGGATTTGGCGAGAAGACCAGAGTAGGTTCGTTATGGATGTCATCTTCCCCAGCAGTGGCTCAATCAACATGTACGCTTTAGCGTTCAGATCGAGAAGTATTTCGTATACCACAAAACGGAGCTCCTGAGGCATGTCAAGGAACATCCTCCCTGTGGACAAATGGTCAGGAATGTATGTAAAGGTGCGTGAAATCGGGTGGCCTACATTTGGTGGGCTTTGACCTGAAGGGCAAAGCGATACCAGAATCAATAGATGCTCTGCCGGTTCGAGCATTCATGATTGCGATGCGAATTGAATAATGTGTATATGGAATTTGTGAATCAATGATGGAGAGAGATGGTGATGATGATGATGATGATGATGATGATGATGATGATGATGATGATGATGATGATGATGAGAGAAATAGAGATAGATGCGAGCATTTGACGCCGAGTAGCATAGACAAGGAAATGGAATGCCGAATATTTAAAGAGGAAGGAACCACTGATGGCTTCCACGAACCGCGTCATGATCCGAATCCGATATGCCAAATTAAGCTTCAAAGGATATCTGTGCAGGCATATCAAGATTAGCAGAAAAGAAAGCAGTTCAAAGTGAATGAGTTTGTGCTTTTTGACCTATCAATTGCCAATCTTGTCAAGATTATAGTCGGTTATCGTATCCTCATGCTTGACCTTCGCTCCAGACTTGAAGCCTTTAAGCGGAATCAATCTCATAACCATCATCCTCGTCATTGACAGCATCAAAACAAACCATGTCCTCGTGATTTCCGTAACCATGACAATCCTGCATGTCCTCATCCTAGCAACCAAACAACTCATCATTATCCCAGAAATACTTAGGGCAAGGCAACTCCACCTCACGCAACAACACCTCCACATCCTCCAACATAACACCATCAAACCCCTCCTTACCAGTAAACACCTTCATAGGCTCGAGAAAAGCTTCCTCAAACTCCTCAAACAGGTGATCACAGTAGTTGGAAGAGAACATGGCCAGGCCATCCTCAAAGCCAGGCAGACGGACTGCGACGGTGTTGGTTTTGAAGTTCAGGTTCGCGGTGACTCTGATTTGCATTTCTGCGGTGAAGACAATGATATCGAGGGTCCATAATTTGATTGCGGGAAGAGGTGCCGTGGTGGGTGAAGGGTCTTGCTTCTTGGATCTCTTGCTCTTCTTCTTGGGTCCAGCAACGGCGATGGTGTGGGGCTCGAGCTTGAGGTTGTAGTAGAGACCAGCTTGGATACGAGCCTTGTAGTCGGAGGCGATCAAAGTGGTGACTTCATCGCGGACTTGTTCAGAGATGGCGAGTAGTTTGGTGACGGCATCCAGAGAGTTGGGGGGTTCGACGACCAGGGTCTTGGTGCCTCTGGGGTCGAGAAGGAGGTGGTAGGCTTTGTGGCGCGCTTCGAGAGTGAGATTGAAGAAAGCAGGATCGGCGGGATTGGCAGGGACTATAGTATCGTCAATGTGTGACACGAGCAGGAGGGAAAAACGCTTGGCTTACTTTGAATGTCGACCTCCTGCACTTTGGTGGCAGAGTTTTCTCCTCCGCCAGTATTGGAGCTTTGAGTGTCCATTTCGTGTTGTGATTGCCAACTGATAGACGATGATTATGGGAGGTGAGAGATTGAAAAGTTGTAAAAAGAAGGAAATATAGCGAAGCCGCAGAGAGGGGACAAACAGGAGCTCCTCCAAGCTTCAAGCTGCAAACAAAGAAGTCTGGAGCTTCAGCGGGGCATAGACCGCGACAAACTGAGACCAAGGCATTGATGTTACGTATTAGATTAGGTGGATTATAATTAACAGACAAAGAGAGTTTGGAGATGATAGAAGACTGGAGAGTCGTTAGGATAAATCAAGTAGAGTGCACGCGATTGAGTGTACCTTGCGTGGATATTTCAGCCATAACAGCGAGAGTGTCACAAGCAGAAGGAGTCTGCGTCTAAGGGCTTTGGAGTTTGACACGGTGACGATGTGAGAGCAAAAATGAAGGTGAGAAGAGAGAGGAGGAAAGAATGCTCAAGGGAGTTCCAGAGATATGGTTATAAGTGCGACCGTACAAGATCCAGAGATCCAACAGTGTGGTCGCAGAAGATACGGAGATCTTGGTGTACAGCAGAAGTACTTTTTGACATGTTTTGTGGAATGTGTTACCGGGAGGTTGTTTGTTATGTATATGCCGTGTAATGGTGATCGGTAATGAGGACGTAGAGGATAGTCGAACAGATCATGACTGAGCTCTCAGCTTGCCAACTTTGCTTCAAAAACACCCATCAAAAGGCCTCCAAGATGTTCTTGAAGCTCGAGTAACGGTCAGCTGAGAGTGCGGATTACTGGTTATTCTCTCTGAACATTTAACATGAAAGCCGTCTTGTCTTCTGATAGTGAGGTTCTGAAGACATGTTCATATGCTGAGAGCTAATGCTGGTCGCTCTCAGCGGACACCTTGGACAGCTGGAAAAGCATCGTGCATTCCGATGTTCACGTCCTAGAGGTAAGACCGTGGCAGGAGCAGTCAATAAATCGTAGGAGCAACACCAGAGATGACGTCCAAGCAGGAAGAAACAATAAGAGGGGTTTAGGACGATGGTTGCCATAACGGGTATAGCGCGAATTCGAGGGTGAGAGTCGCCCAAGGTTTGAGCGGACCTCAGCGGTGCCCTCGGTCCAAGACGTTCCATTCGGCGAAATAGGGATCCTGCAATTTTCGCGATGACTGCAGGGGATAGAATGACAGAACATGTCGCTATCAACCGCTCACGTGTCGATTGTACAGTGATAACATGAGCACGCCCGTCGTATCTGGTGCGACGCGACGGTCACAGGCTGCTGCGGAGGACAGCTTGGCGTGCAAGGAATGCCGTCGTCGCAAGGCCAATTGCGACCATAAGATTCCGGAGTGCTCGACTTGCAAGCGTTATAAGCGCCATTGTCTTTACGATAGGCTGGGAAAGACGCCGCTAACGAGAAGGTGCGTGTAGATGAAGCTTCGTTGCAGGCTTTGCGGCTGATATTGGCTTCTAGGCATCTTACAGAGGTGGAGCATCGTTTGTCGCGTGCTGAAGGGATTCTCAAGAGGTTGTTTTCTGATCAAGAAGTTTCGTATCTGCTTGACCAGGAACGATCTGGTGATGTACCCACGCTGCCGCCGATAAGGAGTATATCGCAAACACATACACCACGGACTGCTAGCCCTGCCGCAGGGAGCGTAGACTCGCCAGTTACCTCGCAACAACAGCGAAGTGTGACATCACAACCTCAAGTACCAACTCAAGGAAGCACTGGTCTCGATGATCCTGGGTCAGCATGGAGCTTTCCCACGACTGATGTTGAGCCAGACCCTACAGCGGCATTGTATCCAGATGGCGACGAAGAATTTGAGTGGGATGAGAGAGAACAGACTGGACTGCATGGCGGTGTCGCAATCACCGAGGACGACGAAGAAGGTGTCAGAAAAGTCATGGACGGTATGGCTACTCTGAAAGTCGACGCTGCCAATTACGGTTATCTTGGAATGGCGTCTGGAGCCTCTCATCTGCGATCTCTCTGGATGGAGTCTGGAAATGGGCCCTCCTGGGATTCTGGCGCTTGGCATGACAGACGACGAGATCTGCAAGATTTGCTTCGAAGACAGACAGAGAGTTCCTCGATAGCTTCAGCCGTGCAGACTCAGACTCTGGTGACAAGAGCGATGGTCGACGTGTTTGTTGATGCATTCTTCGTGCGGTACCATCCGGTCTTTCCAATCTTGCATGAACCGACATTTCGGGCTCAATATGCAAGCCGGATGGCTCGACCTGGTCAAGGTATCTGGCTTGTACTGGTCAACATCGTTGCGGCGTTGGGTGCTTTTGTTACCAACCCAAGCTCCTCGGATGATACGAGTCTGTCAATCTTCAGGACAGCAAAGCGATATCTTGCAGTCAATGCCTTGGAAACAGGCAATCTGACGTTGGTTCAAGCATTCGGTATGTCGGCCATGTTCCTGCAGAAGATCAACAAGCCCAATACCGGCTACAATTATGGTGGTGTCGCGATCAGAATGGCTATCGGGCTTGGATTACACAAGGAGTTTGGTTCTCAGCACATGAGCCCTTTCAAGCAAGAGTTGAGGCGCCGAATATGGTGGTCTCTCTGTGTCCTGGACGTAGGCGCAACCATTACCTACAGTCGTCCTTTGATCTGGCCACAAGTCGGAGTTGATGCAGCTTTACCATCCAATATCCGGGAGCAGGACCTCATGGCCAACTCACCGGTGACGCCACCCGAAGTCGACGAACCGACAGTCAACACATACCTCCGAGTACAATCGTCATATCACCTGCAGACCATGCCAATATACAACCGCTTGATTAGCAACCCACCACCGCTTCCAGAAGAACTCTTGACGCTCGATTCGACCATTGTGGAGGCCTGGTTGAGTCAGGTGCCGCATTATTTCCATGACAGCAGTGGCCCTATGCTGGAAGATCGATTTGCCTTACCGCATGGCATCAACTGCTGGAGATATCGCAACCTTCGCATTGTCATCTTCCGACCACTCTTGGTCAAATGGGCATTGCAGGACGGCAGAGAGGAGACGCTCACTTGGCACGAGCAAGAAGCGACGAATAGGTGTTTGCGTGCTGCTCGAGAAAGTATAGCATCGATTCAAAACTTCTGGAAGTCGAGGTCGCAGACGAGATTGACTGCTTTCTATGTGCTGTTAGTATCGCTATCACTGAAGCTTGACAACTACTGACTGTTTCCAGATACTTCATCTTCCAAGCGGCACTTATCCCAATACATTGTCTGCGTTGCAAGTCCAAATCCAGGCTGGCACCAGAATGGCGAGACCAGGTGTCGGCGACTCTGGAGGTCGTCGAATCAATGATTGGGTTGAATCCGAGCGCCTCAAAATGCCGCGATGTCATCATGAGTCTCTGTGGCTCGCATCTTCGAAACCTGGATGACGAATTCGTCGATTATGAACAGGCGTTCAACTTTGAGCCGACAATGGACGCGACAGCATGGATGGCAGGATGTGCGCCTACTCTGATCAATGAAAACTTGTGGGCAGGAAGCCTGGACAACACCAGTGCGGAGCTGTCCTTCAGCACTTGGGAGGGTGATTGGAACATTTGAAACGTGTCGATGTGTCAGTTTCCATCCGATGGTGGGTAGCCAACTGAAACATGAGAAGTTGGAAATATTCAGCTAACGGATAGAAGTGCAAGGATGGCGTCGACTGCATGGGTCAATGTGGCCGGCCAAGCTCACCGAACCGCTCTGCTGGGTCAATCGCTCGAGTGAAGTGCTCTTTCCGCGTTGGTAGATGCACCTAACCGCCGTGCTTGCCGGTGCACGTGTCAATCCTACCAACACCAACCAAACACAACCAATATGAGATTAAAAGTTGAGCCACGCTTCATCAACGCTGTCGTAGTCTAGAGGTTTAAGACGCCGCTCTCCCACCTTAAAAGCGGAGGTCCCGAGTTCGAACCTCGGCGGCAGCAATCCTTTTGCATCTACACCATAAGCCAGAGAGTCAGAGACTCAACAAAGGCCGTCTATCAACTTTTTGCGTTATCCTTCCTCCTTTTCGGGGCATAATTTGATCAAGGGCTGAGATATTAAAACTATCTTTCCGACCTAGAAACTTATGATTCTAAAGCAAGGGGCCGTTCTCCTAACGCAAGGGTTTACACTACCTTTTATACATTGAGATCTCCTGCCCGCCCAGGTGTATCATTATGTCCTCCTCTACCGACTAGTACCCCAAGGATGCGCAATTAGCAATGCTGGAGCAAGATGTTATGGATTTGGTCAGCTATTTACGAGGGTGTCGTCCGACTCGAAATACAGCAAATAGCCACAAAATTGAGCATAGCTCGGCCACTCTGATGGTCTGTTGCTCCCTGGGTGACATATTCTCCCGATCTTCGAAGCATCGCTAGCAAAAGTGCCATAGTAAGAGCACGTTCTTCAGAGCAAGCATGGCGACCACAATCAAGAAGGTGCAAGATATGCGGCGGCACGAATAAAGCCGTTCTCTCTGTCGCTGATGACTCGGTCAAACAAGTCTTTGATTTGTCTGACAGTCTTCTGCTGGTTACCAGAACCAGGGCCCGAGTCGTTACAAGTCATGCATGCTGAGCTGTGCGGCACAACATCGATCTGAAGTGCAGGTGTAGAGTGGATCATGTTGACAACGGGCTGCAAAATGGCGAGTGAATTGTGTCTACCGCCGCATCGCACTTCAATGACGAATCTGATGGGAACACCAGTCGAAGATGCCTTCTTGACACGGTCGGCGACGATTTGAAAACGATGTGCTTGCGTCTTGAAATCCGGATAGTGGCAGTAATTGCCCCCGAAGAACTCAAGGGATAGTACACGAGTACAGAGTGATGATGCTTCTTGGTAGATTCGCAGACTACAAAGCAGTAGCGTGGGTACTTTGGTGTGATGAGCTGGGAGTGCTTCCTTGTAGATCATCAAACGGATCTCCAGAGGCAGGTCAAAGAGATTTGTCGAGCGTGTCATTGTGTCGGAGATGGTTTCGGATTGTCCAACAACCTCTGTGATGACGGTGTTTGCTGCTTGTTCAACGGGTCGTTTGATGGGCGTCTTGTGTTTGGTTTGTTGCTCGGTGGGTGGCTTGGGAGCGGCCATCACCATCATTTCTGCGAGCATGATGGCAAGACGAGAAAGAAATCTGGCGCCTGGGATAACTCATTTAGCCGATGATACGTTTCGAAAGGTAAGACGGCGCCTCGAAGCGCCGCAAGAACTGTGAGATACGGAGGATAAATGCTTACGGGAAGTGAGGATGCGCCGACGACTCTTGCGTTGCAGTCAATGGCCGAGATGGTACCAGTGAAGTTTTGATGGGTTTGAGGTTGTGATGACCGTCGGAGCGATTTGACGCGTATTCACGTCCTGATTTTATCGGCGCGATGGCGACTTCTCTGGCACGTTGAAAGCGACGCGACTGCCTCGACTCTGACGCGCTAGAATCACTCCCTACTCTCAAAACCCCGACAATTCAATCAAATTCATGGTCTCACGCTGCGCAACATCGTCAAGATGACTGATACTCGCCTTTCGAACGACGTTCCGGATCACTCAGACGAAACCCATACATCCACAACCATCAGAACCTCGACACTTTCTAAGATTCAGCCAAATGTCTCTAGGCTTGGATTCATGGACTTGCCCCCAGAGCTACGTCTGATGATCTACCGACACGCTTTTCCAGAAGACGAGATCTACATTGTGGTATACGGAAACACCACCCGAGCCCACCCCTACCATGAACAAACCTCTGGCTTATTACGCCTTAATCGTCAAATCACTCGAGAGATTGACGCCATCTGTACTTACGTCGTCCACGACTATTACGACATTTTCGCCCTCGCACCAAAAACAGTCAACAAGTTACATGAGATCTGCAAGCTTCTAGCTCAGGCAAACAGGAAGATCACCGTGCGAATCGAGCTCGAGTTTTGGGGACACTCCGATTTACGTGATCTTCTCGAAAGCTTGCCGGGATGCAAAATTGAGATCAAGACTCATACTCACAACATTAAACTCGATGTCTTGATCCGACGTGTGGAAATCTGGAAGGAGTCCGGTGGTATTGAAGCATCTGTTACGGTTATGCGTTGTCAAAAGCAGGGACTAAAGTGCTGCCAATATCTGTGGGGATTGTGAGATGATTAATCTCACCAGGAATGTCTAGATGGGATGACAAAACACCAGAAGATGATTGAAGGACGATGTTGCTATCGCTGTGCTCTTATGCAGCCCTCACCTCCGAGAATTCTTGCTTCATGTCAATAACTTTGACACAATTCGATCTACAGCATCACGTCACATGAAGGGAACTCACTCGGGCTTGCGTTTATCTAGGACGCGGTAAAATGGACGAACTTCCAGTTAGACCTTAGCAGTCAACACCCTTAGGCATGTCAGTGTTTCGGTCTGGTGTCAGTCTACCGAGTAGATTACAATTCGTTCTCTCGTCTTCTGTAGCTTTCCCGCTCTATTGCTCTAAAGACACAATTAAAGCCACCATATCAAAGCGAAGAATTTCCCACATCTCATTACATTTTCCCTGATGGTGATACATCAGCAAGAAACAGCAGTCATCATACTATTGTAGTTGTGAGGGTATGAATTGTCAAGTCACCCCGGCTTCGAGCGAGACAGACAATCGTAGTTTGAGCATGAATACGTTCAAGAGCGTACTTGTTTACTTGTTAATATCTGTGCATTACAAAAGCGACTGGACAACTTTTTTGGCAACTAAAGATCATATTGAATGAATACCCAGTCTTGCCAGCGAAAAATTGGAAGGCATGGAAGAAATACTCTTGTGATCATGCATATATCGCGGCTGCCAGCCACCACCTCTACCAATAGTCGCTGAGCGACTAGCACGAAGGAAGATCTGCTGTTTTTCCTCTTCCTTGCGAGCTAACGCTTATGACATTCAAGAACATCGTCCATAGTAATGGCCAGTTCATGGAGTCAGAGTTGTTCCAATGGACCTGATATCACAATATCGCTGCCAGTCGCGTACGGCCGTTGCGGCCGATGGATCTCAACGGAGATACTTGCTGATGCTGTTTGGGTGGCTACAAAGGGTGATCGCTGGAATGGAATATACAGAGGATTTCTACTTGCAAAATCTCGCAAAGATGCAGCTGGACAAGCAAGGGGCGGGACCACTCGGTGAGTAGGCGGGTATCGCATGCCTAAGTCCGACTTGCCAGAGCATCACTTCGAGGGCAGGACGGAATGAAGACTTCTAAATCGCGATTGTTCAGTTTGCCGTAAAACTTGTAGACCAATTTGATGACGATGATACCATTTTATGTCATATTTCTCGTGTATCTGATAGCATTCCTAGTAGCGTCCGAAATGGCAGATCTGGTCTGTCCTTTCTCGAGGTCCAGCACGGCATTGATCGTGATGCCCTTTGCCACAGACATTGATTCTTTCAAAGACTCGGGAGTCATGCCCTGATCCAGTAGGCCAGCTGCACTCTTCAGACTCTGTGCAGAGAGCGCTAAGGCCAAAGATCGAGGGATACCCTCTGCCACAGCCGCATCTGTGACAGCATCGACGGCAATCATCATGAGAGCGTTGCAAGTTGCGTGTGCTGCCGTGGCTTCGTTCATAAGTTCCTCCGGTAGGTAATGAACGCTGCCAATTTGTCGGAAGATCCAATCGCAAAGGGCCTTTTCATCGTCTCCGGCATGGTCTGTTTCAGCAATCATGGTGACTGAGTCCAGGTTTTGTGCTCCAATGCTAGGGATGACGTGGATGACATGGAATTGCTCTGCTCTGTTGGTTTCCTCATTGAGCACGAAAGCATCAATGACCTGTTCGCAAGTCGTACCAGCCAGCAAACTGATGACAAGTTTACCTCGCAAAGATTTGCAAAGCGGCATGTTTTCCGAGATCGATCTGAGTTCTGCAGGCGGAATACCGAGCATGATGACATCGGCTTTGTCGACGGCTGAAGACCATGCGTGTAGGGAAGTAGCGCTTTGGATGCGGTATGCTTCATCGCCGAGAACCTTCTGCACTCGTTCGAAGGATTCCTTAAATCTGACGCAAGCGTGTATTTGGAGCTTGAAGTCTTCTGAGTTCTTGTGGCCCGGGCGGACGCTGGTGAGTAGGCCTTTGATGATGGCAGTGCCCATGAAGCCTGCTTACATGTCAACTTTGACTCCGTGATAGAACATTGTGGAATGACAAACCACTTCCGAGCACCGCGATACTAAGTCTCTCTAGGGGGCAATCCATCGCATGTCCAGGTCGCTTATGGGTAGACTGAAAGATTGTCAATAGGACGAAGTCGCAGAATGAAGTCAGAATAAATAATTGCAAGAGGTTGGCCGCCCCGCCATTGGATTGTGGAGTGGATTTCCTATTCCGTCATGGCTATCGCGGTGTCGGCATGACATCCGATCGGAAGTGCAACCGGTTAGCTCAAGCGCCCTTGTCTCTCTTGCAACACGACGGACATGTAACCGGTCATCCGTCAAATGGACTAAGCAACTGCCTCTTCGATCCAGTATTTCGACACACAATCCAAGAAATAAATCATACCCCGGAGCTCTTTCGCATTACTAGCTGATCTCAGAGCAGACCGCCCCCAAGGAAAGTGAGGCGTATAAATCGCCTACTTTTGCGAATTTGATCAGTTATCTTCTGCACAGTATGTGGAACATGGTCCACAGCCTTGAGTCAAAGTCGCAACGTCACTCATGCGTTATTCGAACCAAAAATCATGGGATGGAAAGAAGAGCACCAGGTCAATGATTCATCTAGCTATCTAAGTCTCTTCTGCCGCCGCAGTGATTATTAGCAAACGGCGCCTCTTAGAATACTCTAGTGGCCATCGAGGATCACTGACCTGCCCCTCTGCTTTACCCCGCCGCCTAATTATTCAATGATGATACTGAGATTGAGAACCAGTAGAGCACATACTTATTGTATGATGTTGCCAATTTTTCCCCCAATGACGAAGTCGTCGTCGGCTGTACCAGAACAGCACATGGTGGAGTGTTCAACGCTTTTATACTATACTCTTGGTCAAAAATCATCCATGTTCTTGTCCGTCGTTACGATTTCAACCATTACACACACATTAAGCTTTCAGGTAGAGATGTACGATAATCTTTCTTTTGTTTCTCATTGTGTCAAATCTGCTGTACATCCACATTTTTGGAGATGTGGGACCCTATATGATAATGACGATGATGGGGACGTTCGAGTTTGATATTGACAGCACGGCATATAAAAAGCCTTGATGCAATCACGCAAAAGTATCACGACGTGCCGCCACCGCTGCCGCCGACGACTGTCCCCTGTGACGAAAACGTTGAGACGACTTGCGAACTATGATGAGAACACCCAGTGCAGAAAAATACAGGATATCGGAGAGGAGAAGCAGGGTATCAGGTCAATGACACCTATAATTTCTCTTCCTCTTATCACCTTTGCTACTTTAGCGATAGAAGATCTCACCTTAGACGGTGTAGCGAAACGAGTAGCTTTCGCCCAGATTCACTGACCTGCCATGTTTGTCTCCTGCCTTCTTCTGTTTTACATTACCTAGATTGAGATCACGTTTGCAGCTCAAGCAAGCTCATATTAAGAAGAAAACCGTCTTCTCGTTCCGTCAATTGGGGTGCTTTTGTTGCCAGCTTGATTAGCAACAAATTAAGAAAGAGCTATCTAAATGTACTCTTCCCGACTAGATGAAGAACACCATGGTTACGTTGCGCTAAGCGAAGGCGAGTGACTCGCGACTTACAATCCATGTTCTACAGAAACGTTGGAGTTCTCATTAACACACTTGGTTCAAAGCTGACATGCCCCGTCATGAAGCGCAACGATTCTCTTGTTTAGTATAAATGTTCTCAACCACGATAATGTGTTCTTCGCAAAGCCCCAACGCACCTAAGGATATTTAGAGGAAAGATCAATGTCCAGTACAGAGAACCATGGGACTGATTGAAGAGCTCATATAAATCGTTCAGAACAACACTCTGCCTGGTATGGAGAAGACAAAGCGAGGCATCGGGTCAACGACACCTCCGTCTCTTACCTACCTCCATCTTGTATTCAACTTTGCACACTATTCACTGGGATTACTGGCTTCCGTTGATTATGGGACAAGAATCTAGAGACTCAAAGGGGAACAAAGGCGACCTCACTGACCTTGTAGGTGTCTTGCGTGCGTGTGCTTTCGCCTACTCAATCTGTTGACTGAAAAATAATCAACCATTATAGAAACTGGACTCACAGAATTGCGAGGCTAGACAACACGATGTTCAGTGACAGATGCAGTAAGGTATGATGACAGAAGCTGTCCTAAGGACCACAGGCAGATTTACCCTTACTGAACACTCAACAAAGATGACCTGAAGAGATAGGAGATAACTTGCAAAAGGTATTGTCATTGTGTCATTCAGCTTTCAAATTCGAACCACTAATCGGACTCGCACATATAAAGGTAAGCATCGCTACCTTCCTCAATCGCATCCGAAGCCCAGCGCGTGATTGTTACATAACCTTCACTCAGTAACCTTGGTAGTATCCCGACGAGTGTCCTTGGTCATATCCTGGCGGAGGGCCTTGACCATAGCCGTGCTGTTGATGTTGCTGCTGTTGGTCGTATCCGCCGTACTGGCCAGGTGGTGGTGGGCCTGGCGGAGCAGCGCCGTACTGGCCACCAAATTGTTGAGGAGGTCCAGGTGGAGGTGCTCCGTAAGGTGTTCCAGCATCATAGGGCACTTCGTAACCTTGTTGGTAAGCGCTAGGATATGCATAGGGATCGTTGTTAGCAAAGCCCGCAGGAGCCGGAGGCTGGTACTGCTGGTTGTAATCGGCAGGTGGAGGAGCACCCCAACCGGCTTGAGGAGTAGCAGGACCGGGTTGACCATAGCCTGAGCCGTACTGCTCGGGAGTGCCTGAGGCGTCCATACCACGTTGTGGGTGCTGGCCCATGCCAAAGACGTTCTGCATATCTCCGGGACCGCCATGAGAGTGGAGATGAGGGTTGGCGCCACCAGTGTGGTTGTGGCCGGCCTTGACACTCTCAGAGCTCAGGAGTCTGTCGAGGTCATGACCGCCGCCAGGGCGTTGACGGGCCCATTGCTCAACTACAGCGAACATCTTGGTTTGGATCTCGCAGTGAGGGTCGCGGATAGCAGGGTGGTGGAAAACACGAAGCACGTCGTTGAGGACTTCTTCTTCAGGCACATCAGGGTGGTCAAATGCGTAGATAATACGGGGTGCGACGTATTGGAGAATACAGGCAGCAACCTTGCCAGCAGGTTCGTTCAAGATATTGCTGAAGTGGTCCTTAGACAGCAGAGAGTGTGTAGGGTCGGTGCTGAAGGGGTCTGTCCAAACTTCGTACTGATGTTTTCCACTCGCGTCGACGACACTGCTGCTACCCTGCTTTAGACTGTTCGAAGCAGCGGCGATCAGAGGAGTGATGTAGGGAGCGAGCAGACCCATGACAGTCAACGTAACCTTTTCAGTGATCTTCTCAATCAAACTCTCCAGACCAGGAATCTTGGAGACGATGTTGCTGATGCTGCGAACGACATTGTCACGGAAGACGAGGATGGGATAGATCTTGGCAACGATTGCCTGAGGGTCGGCGGTGTTGTTGGCAGATGCGACAGGATTCCAGGCACGATCCTGACTGTAGCCACCGTCATCGAAGCCACGAGCACCGGCGCCACCGTTCTGAGCAGCATATTGATCGGACTCAGTTTGTAGACGAACAGCTTCCTGGCATAGACCGCTCGTACCGGGCACCTTGGATAACAGGCTGACCAAGCCAGACACTTCTCCCGAAGGCCCAGAGCCAGAGCGCTTTCCTTGAGCGGAAGCATCGTTCAAGGCACTCTGCATCTCATCAACCTCACTTTGTGTGACATGATCAGTGGCTTCACCCAGGACGGAGTGCATGAAGTCGACGCCGCCAAAAGTGCCAGTGACCAGTGGGAAAACACGCTTGCCACGAAGGTTGATTTCAGTGTTTGCTCCAACATGAGGGAACACGTTATTGTGTCCAAGCTCACGAAGTGCAAGCTCGGTGTAATTTGTGTGCGCCCCCCAATCCTCTAAACAGTGAAGGCTCTGCCCTAAACAGCGTAAAGCTTCGCACAAATCTTTTTCCTCGCCCTTGTTTTGACCGTGAGTGTAAAGGCGGCCGTAATGAATAGCTCTCTTGAAGCTGTATCTGATGTATCCAGCCGAGGTGGCCCAATCGCCGCGTTCGTTTGCAATGTAGTTCTTCATACCAGTGTCTGGGTCAATGGCAAGCTCCTGGGGTGAAACGGGACCACGAAGACGCTGGTCAAATTGCCTGGCATCTTGATTGTCGGCATAATCCTTGGGGTTGTCGATGTGCTCCTCAGGACGGTAGACACCAAGGCGCTCGTCGGTGACTTCGAATTCAGCTGTGGCATATCCGAAACTCATAAAAGCAAGAACCCAGACCAAGATCCGGATAGTGCTAGCAGGAACACCTTTGAGAGTACCGACATCGACAGCTTGACTGTAATCACGGAGCCAGTTGCCAAAGTAGACGCGCTGTGGAATATGGTCATCAACAAAAGAAATTCTTGGGTACTACAGAGATCAGTCCTACCTTGATCATCATCGAAGTCCACTTGTGCTTCTTCAAGCAGTCGACAGTCTTGAGCATATCCTCGATGTCACCATGGCGCCAGTTCTTGCCTTCAATCTTTGAGATGGAAGCAATGTTTCCGGCGCCGAAGGCATGAGTCGGAGTTGCAAAGAGCAAGACTGCCACCAGACAGAGAAACAGTAGCAATTTCGTGTTGGCCATGATGGTGGATTTGTGTGTGTAAAGATCAAACGATGTAAAGATCAAACGATGATGGAGATGAAGATGACGACGAAGGTGGGATAGGTTTATATGAGGCTGAAGCGTGGAGGGGCACAGGTGGCTGTGCGTTGACGAATGCGAGTAATGCACCACGAATCCTTTAGATGTTCTATTCTTGGTGCGCAGCAAGCAGAGATGCAAAAGCAGTGTATGTGAAGCTTATGGTCAAACGATATTGACCCAGGCAGCTATGTATCACTGTGTATGTAGCATTAGACGAAAAGAAACATCTTGCGGTGGTTTGGGCGGAGGGCGGAGGGCGCAAAGAGGGCGGAGAGACGGAAATGCCAAGGCCAACGATGATGAAGTTGCAGGGACTTTTTTGGGACCAGCAAAGCGGCGACTCTTTGGCATTTGTTTCTCGACTTGTCGACGACAACCACTTTATCACTCTTGTCGCACCCACTGCCCGCCCATTCCTCTACGCCTTATCGCCTCTTCTAGACTAGGGTCGTTTCTCACGCCACCACATCATCAGCGACAATATGTCCGACAGAAGATCCGGCGACGAATCGCGCGCAAAGCGCCAGAAGATGGAATCTGATCCCGCCTCCAACCCCTACCTCGCACACATGAACCACAACGAGGACAACGGCTACAGCAATGGACGCTCGAATGGCGGTGCTTCCGATGGTCTCACTCACTTCAAGCGCCACCAGACGACGGCTCAGCTGGCTGCAAAGGCTGAGGATGGTCCTTCAAACCCTTTCAACGGCAAGAACCTGTCTGAGCGCTACTTTGGTATCTTGAAGACTCGCAGAAACCTGCCTGTCCACGCTCAAAGGTACGTGGCTAGTCTTCCTATCAAGCCGCGTAATTACTGACTAAACGTGTAGAAATGAATTCCTTCAAATGTTCCAGCAAACGCAAATCCTCGTCTTCGTCGGTGAGACCGGTTCAGGAAAGACCACTCAGATCCCTCAGTTCGTCCTCTACGATGATCTGCCGCATCAGCAAGGCAAGATGGTTGCTTGTACACAGCCCCGTCGTGTGGCCGCCATGTCGGTCGCTCAGCGTGTCGCGCAAGAGATGGATGTTACACTGGGTCAAGAAGTCGGTTACAGCATCCGTTTCGAGGATATGACATCGCAGAACACCATTCTCAAGTACATGACCGACGGTATGCTTCTGCGTGAAGCTATGAACGACCACAACCTCAGCCGCTACAGCACAATTATTCTCGATGAAGCTCACGAGCGTACTCTGGCCACCGATATCCTCATGGGCCTCCTCAAGGAGGTCGCCCAGCGCAGACCCGACTTGAAGATCATCATCATGTCCGCCACTCTTGATGCCGAGAAGTTCCAAAAGTACTTCAACGATGCTCCTCTCCTTGCCGTCCCTGGTCGTACCCACCCCGTCGAGATCTTTTACACCGCCGAGCCCGAGAGAGACTACGTCGAGGCCGCTATTCGTACCGTTCTTCAAATTCACGCTACCGAGCCCGAAGGTGATATCCTGCTCTTCTTGACCGGTGAGGAGGAGATTGAGGATGCATGCAGAAAGATTGGTCTGGAGTCAGATGAGATGATCAGAGAAGCAGGTGCTGGTCCATTGAAGGTATACCCTCTTTACGGTTCTCTGCCTCCTGCTCAGCAACAGCGCATCTTCGACCCTGCACCTGGTCCTTTCCGCCCTGGTGGTCGTCCCGGTCGCAAGGTCATCATCTCGACCAACATCGCCGAAACTTCGCTCACTATCGATGGTATTGTCTACGTTATCGATCCCGGATTCAGCAAGCAAAAGGTCTACAACCCCAGAATCAGAGTCGAGTCTCTGCTCGTTTCGCCCATCTCAAAGGCTTCAGCCCAGCAGCGTGCTGGTCGTGCTGGACGTACCAAGCCTGGAAAAGCTTTCCGTCTGTACACTGAGGCTGCTTTCAAGAAGGAGCTCATCGATCAGTCATACCCCGAAGTTTTGAGATCAAATTTGTCGTCAACTGTTCTGGAATTGAAGAAGCTTGGAGTCGACGATTTGGTACATTTCGATCTTATGGACCCTCCCGCTCCCGAGACTCTTATGCGCGCCCTGGAAGAGCTGAACTACCTTGCCTGTCTCGACGACGAAGGTGAGCTGACTGAGCTTGGTCGTATGGCTTCAGAATTCCCTCTGGACCCTGCTCTTGCAGTCATGCTTATTTCATCTCCCGAGTTCTACTGCTCCAACGAAATTCTCTCCCTCACAGCACTTCTCTCGGTACCGAATGTGTTTGTGCGACCAAACAGTGCTCGCAAGCGTGCCGACGAGATGAAGGACCTCTTCGCACACCCCGACGGTGATCATCTCACCATCCTTAACGTCTACCACGCCTTCAAGTCACCAGCAGCACAAGACAACCCCAAGCAGTGGTGCCATGACCACTTCTTGTCATACCGTGCCCTGCAGCAGGCCGATAACGTCCGCATGCAACTCAAAAGAATCATGGAGCGCAACGAGATTGAGCTCATGTCAACACCATTCGAGGACAAGAAGTACTACGAGAACATCCGCAAGGCTCTCGTCTGTGGTTACTTCATGCAGTGTGCCAAACAGGACTCTGGCAAGAAACAGTACATCACAGTGAAGGACGAGCAGACCGTCTTGTTGCACCCTTCGACAGTGCTGGGCACCGACAGCGAGTGGGTCTTGTACAATGAGTTTGTCCTTACCACAAAGAACTACATTCGTACAGTAACTTCAGTCCGTCCTGAGTGGTTGTTGGACATTGCACCGAAATACTACAACATTGAGGACTTCAAGAAGGGAGACATGAGAACATCACTACAAAGAACGGCGGACAAGTTGAGGAGAAAGGAGATGCTCGCAGCCGGAAAGCGCTAAGCGAGGTTGTTTGTTTGTTGTGTAGATTATCTCAAAGGTTGGAAGAATAAATTCATGACTATCTACGTCTGTTCATTGACAGACAAAGCAAGTTGTTTTCCATTCCAAGTGCATGCCGTGGAATGTGGTAGATGACCGAATGCAGAAGGATAATTGATATGCGAGATCACGTGCACGCGCCTTGCCTCGGCCGGTCCTTCGCGTCATCCGCCATCTCGAGCTTCAATCTTGTGCCTGCTTGACACATTGACAGCTAATTTTGACAAACCTGTCGGTCAAGTCAACGACAACATGCCTTCGCCGATGGAACAAGCGCTAATCACACTCGTACCGACCCTCAATTCATTACCACAAGAGCTTATCGACCTCTCAACATCCCTCCTTGCGCAATCACGAAACAAAGCAGCCTCTCTCAAACCAGATGAAGAGATCGGGAGGACTTACGCATGCGCGCACATTGCCGTTGAGAGACTCAGGAACCGGCTCGATATCGACAAAGTGGTTGCGAGACCGCCCGTCGCACCGCGAATCTACAAGAAACTCTACGGATACCTGGATGCGGCGCTGTCTGTTCCTGCAACGCCGAGGACGAATCGACTGAAAGATGTTGGAACAGTAGGTACACCCGGCAGTGGAAGAGGGAGAAGGAGTGCCTTGGGTACACCTGTTGGTACGCCGTCTAAGACTCCCGCGAAGAGTGTAAGAAGCGCAGGTGTCACGCCATTGAAAACTCCAATCTCCGCAGCGAAGAGCGTAGGAAGCGTCACAGCGTCTGGTAGGAGGACGAGGTCTGCCGCAAAGGCTCCGGAAGAGGAAATCGTGATAGCAGACTCGGAAGAAGACATCCAGAAGCAGATTGTACAAGAGCAGGAAAAGGGATACAACCTGCCAACACAGGTGCCACCACTGATCATGTCAGTCTGCGATGCACTTGATGTGCCACAAGCATCGACACACGTCCTCGCAGCATTGTCCGCTATTCTACAATTACGAGGCTATAATGACGCTGAGACAAAGACCAACAAACAGACGCCTCGGTCGTCTGTCAAGAGGCGAAAGCGAACTTCCACAAGCGCAGAAGAAGAGCCCACATCACAAGAAGACGACAAGGCCATCACACCAACATCTTTGCCAGCTCTCCTCGCGGCGATCGCCCTGATCACTACTTTCACCCTTCGCAACACCGTAATAGACGGCACAGCATATGCAGCCGCTCGCTCATCCGCCATCCAAGCGCTAGATCCCCACGCACCCATCAGCGCGGAAGTCGACGCCTTCCTACACGCCAGTAAAACAGAGGGGTGGCTAGAATTACCATGGTTCACTGCCGTCAAAGCCGCTGCCACCACGACAGCCATCCCTGAAGCACAGACACCTAAAAAGAACAAACCTCCTGCCAAAACACCACTGCACAGAAAGGAGAAACATGCACCTAGACCGGCGGCGAAGGATTTGGACATGGATACTGTGATGGAAGACGCAGATGCCGAGGCTGAGGAGGAAGATGCAGATAAGCCAGGCGCTGGACTAAGGTCAGGCTTGGGAACCATGTTCCAGGATTCCGTGGACTGGCTGAGTATGGACAGAAGGAAGGAGTATAGAGCTTGGAAGAGGGACATTCTGCAAAGATGTGCGGAGATTGAAAGTAGAGCATAGAATCCCCTCGTGTACGATATTTTAACATGCATCACCTTTTGATCGACAGAAGCTGTGTAACATCCTGCGAGTGTCCTTCTCAGTGATTGCTGTAACTAGTTTGTTCCCAATCAGCTTGGTCCTCCGGATGTCGAAATGCACAACAACTTACCCACCGTCACATTTTGAGTCTACGACGCAGGGCAGTCGAATGAAACATCTCAATTACCGAGACTACTGATGGTATCGTCACTGTGATTAAGATCTGCCGACCCGTGGGATCGTTGAGGTAGATTCCCATGGCTGACGGGACTACCCTGCGCGACCTGCCACAAGGAAGTTCTGATCACGAAAGCGCAATTCTGTCACTGAAGCGACGATCGGCCGCACTTCGAGTTTTTCAATGACGAACATAATTTTTGATCATTCTTGTCTTCTGATTCATCCATTGTGTTCTCTTTATCGATCATGCACTCTCAGTGTAATGAGGCTCAAACTGTCTTTTTTATCGCCACGATGGGGACGCGAAATGTCCATTCTAAAAGTCGCTGTTCTGGAAGATCCGCTTTCGGCCACGGACAATCCTTTGTGCACGTCAACATTCCTCGATTTGATGGGAGACGCTTCCCCTAGTTTGCACCACCAGGACAATCTGCCTCAGCGACTCAGTCGGATTCAAGACTTGCGAGCATAGGATCGAGATCAAGCATATACCGCTATCATGATCCAGGCCAATGGATGAATAATAGGTATCGGATTTGCCATGGGGTCAAGGCAACGATGCTTCACCGAGAGACTGTTTCAAGTAACACTTCTGTTTGCTTCCGTATACCGGAGCTTCTTTGTGTGTAGTTTCAACACATACACATCCGGATGCGGAACATATCAAGGCTGCTTTCGACACAACACGCTTTCGACTCATATTGCAGCTAAGTCACTGGTCTCTGGACCTCTTTCTTCTCTCAACAAACAAGAGGAGATTCTACCACTACAAACGCCTGCTTTCACCTGACTTGAATTTTATCATCCTGTTACATGCTATTCTTGTTCTCGTCCTTATCATCTGTTCTACACCTTTTCTTCGTGTGTTTCCGAAAAGACCAACACAGACATTGAAAAGGTATTACCCCCATCCTATCTTGATAGACTGACAACAGCATGGCCGACGAAGGGGGTCATTCCCCGCCTATCCGCTCACAAGAGCTGCCTTCCAGTCAGGGGCCATACATCTCTCCACCTCGGACTCCTGGAATTATCATTACACCGTCCGAGGACTCTAACGCTGAACAAGCGACCGTGTCTTCTGACGATCTGCTCCAAGTATCTCACGAGACAAGAGACGATGTAGCATTGCCCAATGCCCACTCTGATGATGAGAACTCGCCAGTATCTCCGGAGGATGACGGAATCAAGATCAGCGACATTATCATGTCAAGACCTGTCTCCCCAGAGAATGACGACAACAAGAGCGACAAGTCTTCCTTCTTTACAGACTCCGACTCGGATGAGGAGTATAGAGGACGTCGCTCCGTTTCCTCGAGAGATCACTCTCCTTCCATCACTGACCGCATCCTTGGCCAAGCCACCAACGATGAGGCAAGGTTCAAACGCAGACGCAGCCAGGGTGGTCTTGGAGAGGGCTTCATACCTGCGGCAGTCAAGCCCAGCCCGCTCAAATTCAGGTCTATCACTCGGGACGGCGATAAGATTCTCATCCTTTCTCCCACAGATGGCAATTCAATTGTCATCACAGATCCTAAGGTTTTTGAAGAACTAGACAACTCTATATCACAGGGTCGCAAGACCTTATCTCCTGTCGAGACGGCTTTCTTCTCAAAACGCACGCAACAATTCCTCGCTAAGGCTTTGGAGGCGGATGAGAAAACTAACCTGAAGGCCACACCCCCTGCCGATCCGAAAAGACCTGGCTCGCCTCCATTCGACATGTCCACAGCAGAGGCTGAAGCAAACGAGGGAAACAAACATATCACTGCTGCTATCAAAGGCACCTCTAGTAGGGCTGCCGAGTCAGGCACTCTTCATCGTCGCACCTCTTCTGTCAATGCTGGTAATGTTCTGGTACAGAAACGCTTGGCACTACTCAATGAGGAAGTCAAGAAACTTCGCATCAACCCCCGCCACCCCGTACCAAAATGGAGTACCGATACATTGTGGGGATACATGCTCACGCAATATGACAATCTTGTCTCCGCCAATAACGTTCTCGCTTTGAACGGCCTCACCGCCAATACGGAAAACTTCAACACCTTTCGAGAGGAGAGGAAACTCTTCAGAGCCGAGGTCGACCGTGTCCAATCGGAAGCTGAAAGGCAAAGAATCACCGACAGTCAAGCAATCGAAGAGCTCAACATAAGGGTTCAAGAGCTCGAAGCAGAGGTCTTCGAAGCCGATGTCACCATCGACGGCTTGGAAGGTGCCTCCCGCAGGCATGATGCTGTTCAAGAGATCGTGAAGTCTGCTGGCAAGCTTTCAGAGGAAGCTCAAGCAGCCCTCGCAAAGGTTGAGGCGCATTCTCAGAAATACAGCGATACATATAGTCTTACATCTCGGACCATGCAACAGTACCGTGACAGTCTTTCTGTCTCCCACGCACAAGAGAAGAAGATCGATCAGCTCCAACGCGACAATCAAGACTTGCGTCAACAGCTCTTGGATTCGGATCTGAAGAGCGAGAAATGTAGAAAAGACAAACTTTTCCAGCAGCAGAACTTCGATAAGATCCAAAACGCATATACAGGACTGCAAAAGGAAAACGCTCAATTGAAGTCTCAGACTCAGACCTTGATACACAACAAGAGCGTGTCAGAATTGAAGAAAGCAGAACTCGAAGTCGAACTTCAAAAGACAAAGGACATTAACTCCGCTTCGGAGCAGAAGAATCCCTCTATCGGATTATCCAAGGTAGAGACTGCTGCTCCTGCATCGCCTAAGCCTGAGATCACTGAACTTGAGAAAGCTCTCAAGACTACACAAGATTCAAACGCCTCCCTTGAGAACAAGAACTCCGCTCTCGAAACACTCCTCAAGGAGACCAGAGAGGAGAAGACGAGGTTTGAGGAGCTGTACAAGTCTTCAGAAGTCCAGCGAGTTTGGTCTTTCGCTCACTACGCAACTGTCAAGAAGCCATGGCCAATTGTCACCCGGGAGATCATGGCTAGCCTCATTGTCGACGAGATCAACGGAAACAGCAAGCCAAAGGAAGACTCAGTCGATGCACTCACACGTGACCAGGTCATCGTTTGGTTCGCTGGAGACATGGGATTGTCCGAGATCTTCAATGAGATCCGAGCTCTTGGCCATGAACTCGACACCAACCTTGAAAAGACCATCTTATCCATCCTTATTGAGCAAGGACTCTGTTATGGCAACTTTGACGTCTTCGCTGCTTTCGCCTTTGCTGGCAAACCAGTTTCTCGCCCCGACTTCATAACGCGCATGAGTACCGTTATTGAGCTTCTCGACAGCATCGGAAATAAATTGCTCAGCGCTGAAGTCGATCGTGATCTTGCAAAGGATCAAGTTAGGCAACTTGAACTCAAGGACAAGCAACAACAGCTCAAGCTCAGACAACAAGCTCATGATCTGGAGAAGGCAGAAACTGCCATGAGCATCTTTGAGAAGCATAATGGCAGTCCTGAAGGAGCTGTTGAAGAATTGATCCTATCGGAGACCGAGAATGCCAACCTGAAATTGGAGTTCGAACATCTCGAGGAACGTAACGCCGAGCTAGCAGATGAGATTGCATATTACGAGAGAGAGCTCGTTGAGCAGCGCGCATCTGATGGAAAAGCTTCCAATCCCGATCAGGAAGAGCGTTGTACACTCGTGGAGCATCATGATCTTGTAAAGCAGATACGTGATCTTACGGAGAGAAACCGCGAATTGGCTGCCACATTTAACAAGACATTGGATGGACGCGACACTTCTCCAGATGGAACAGCCGTTGATAGTGCCGTCGGCCCGACCCCACTTGAGTCTCAGCCTCCTACTCACGACTACTATGCAGAGATTTTGAGACTCAGAAAGGAGAACGTCGAACTGACCAATCAATACGAAAATGCTAGAGTCAATGCTCCTGATTCTCCAGCATGTCCGCACTGCAGTGTTCTCAGAGCTCAGATCAACAGACTCAAGCAAAGAAACAGATCACGTGGCGAGAGGGAAGATGTGGAGAGAGAAAATGCAGTCTTTGCAGCAAGAAACTCTGCTGAAGCGAACCACAATGAAGAAAGACAGAGATTCGAGAAGGAGACACAAGACTTCCAGAAGCGAATCTCAGATCTGCAGGAGTTGTTGGAGGCGGAGAAACAGCGGTCTTCGATACCCGCCTCGACCTCGCAGGATAGCTCGCCTACCCAAGGCGGTGTCCCGACTCTTTCTTGTCAAAACTGTGATACTCTCGCTGCTCAGATATCGAATCTGCAAGAGTTGTTGGAAGCGGAGAAGCAGCGATCAGTTCCGGACTCGCAGAATAGCTCGCCTACCCAAAGCGGCGTTCCGCGACCTTGTCATGACTGTGGCTACCTCGCTGCTGAGAGGAGGCGTCTGCTTGTTGATAACCGAAGTCTTCAGACCCAGCTAACACATAGTGACAACAGACTCTCCAGGTTTGCTAGCATGGTCGACAAGGCCAACCGAGATGCAGACAACGCTCGACGCGAGATTGAGGCACTCAAGCAGGACATCATTCTCTTGAGAACCGGATCTCCCGACAGCCCATCGTCCACTCAACCATCTTCAACTGGCAACACTCCCGTCAAAGGCGTCAAAGATGCACGCATTCAAGAGCTCGAAGAGGAGCTTCAAGTAGTCAAGAAAACTCTTAGTGGTGCGATTTCTTCTCAATGGGATGGCAAATGGGGCGCCGCCAAGCTCCCTGCTGCGCCTGTCCATCAGCAAGACGATGCATGGAAGACTTTCGAGACTGAGGGAAATTACCGCACTCTTCTTGAAGAGGAAAAGAAGCTGCGTAAGCAAAACACCGCATTACAAAAGAACCTCGACGACTTCGAAGCTGCTTCTGCCGCCTGGGATAATGAGCATGATGCTGAGATATCCGAACTCGAGAGCGCCGAAGTCAAGGGC